GTGTGAGGGCCTGCGCGGCCGCGGGCGTCCCTTCCGGGCTCGGGATGGGCTCCGGGACGAGCAAAACCCGTCAGGACGGGCAGCGGTGGTGCGGACGGGCCGGTGGGAGCGGGCGCTGCCGCCACCCCGGGAGGGCCGCGGGCCTGGCGCTTGGAGCGCGGGGTGGTGGCACCTTCCTCCCGCTTCGGCTAGTGGGGTTACACCCGAGTTTTAGCGTAATATTAATGTAAGAGAACAACCGGGGCCTCTACAGAACAGGCTTTACCCTCTTTTTAAAGCTCAGATGTTCTTGGCAATACTGTGTTGTTTTCAGGTGGCCATGAGTATCCTCACCCTGTTGTCTGTTAGATGATGGGTTTGATTAAATTAACTTTGCAAACTTGGGTACAATATCCATCAAAGTGGATTAATATTTTCTCAGACTTACTGCCATTGTTTGTCTCCTGTGTGTCATTAAAGTGTGTTTGCAACACATGTGCCTGATTTTCTTCAATACTTTATCGAGGACAGCATTACAGTGGAAATTTCTCTTTGCCTGCTTTGGGGATGGTGTTTTGTTTTTTTAGAAAAATCTTTTAGGGGAGGTAGGAAAAAAATGCTGCCTGATTTTCTTCAATACTTTATCGAGGACAGCATTACGGTGGAAATTTCTCTTTGCCTGCTTTGGGGATGGTGTTTTGTTTTTTTAGAAAAATCTCCTTTTAGGGGAGGTAGGAAAAAAATGCTTAAAAGATGTTGAGCCTGTTTTTCAGTCTTGGACTGCATCCTGGGTTTACCAACCCACTCAAATGAGTGGAGTTTATCAGGCACCCGGGACACAAATGTTATGCTTTGTTTTATCTTAAAGATTTGGCTTCAGCGTCCACTGTCTACTGCAAATCAGGCATTTAATTCCTAGATTAGAAGTTTCAATACAAAGGGCCTAAAATCTGTGATATACTAAAAAAACCTATTTGAAATATTTTTGACAAAAGCACCCTGGAGTTTTGTTTGTGACTTTCTTTGTTCTTTAGTCTATGAAACTGTCAAGATTCAGGCAAGCTCAGATTTATAAATTCTTGAATGTGCTCATACATCTACAGTAAGATATTTGTCTTCCTTTTTATGAATATATTTTGTTCTCTAAGAAATGGGAAGCTGCAAAGCTAAATCTTGAAATTAAAATGCAAATTTGATTATTTTGGAAAGTGTGATTTACAGCTGTAACTGAAAAAGCAGAGCAAGACAATTTGAACAAAATAGAAAATTAGATGTAGTTACCAAGTAACACTGAATTCTGTTTTTCCAAGACAAAGCCCAGATCCTCGAGCCTCTTTGTTCCAGTAGTCCTTTCCACATGTAACATACCTTGGGATTACAGCCTCAATCTGAGTTTGAGCCTGATTTGTGAGTCTTCTAATATAATGTCATGTAGCCCATTCTGTAATTAATGTTTTTATGTAGAAATTCACCGTATCTGTTTTTTTGCATGGATCTTCTGTGTCAGTAATCAGTCTGTGGTTCACAGTGTTCTCAGTTGTTGATCCTCAGTTTGGTATCAGAAAGGGAGAGGCTCAGCCACACTCACGTTGTGCTGATGTCTGAAGCTGGGCCCGTCCAGTTCTCAGACACCAGGATCACTGGTGAGTTCCGATGGAAACTTCTGAATAGCTGCTCCTCTGTTTTACAGACATTCGAGTTTCTGTTAACTCTGCTCAAGCATGTGTTGTGTGTCTGCATTTATTTGATCCTTTACATTTAATGAGATTGCTTGTGCTTGAAATTAAGTGTATATATAACTGCATTGATGTCCAATGTTTACAAATGAAAACTTGCTCCCTCTTGAATATTTTGAAAGTTTGCATGACTATTTTTGCATGAAGATGTTGTTACTCTAGAAATTGTGATTGAAATGCTAATATCTGTAGCTATAAAGTATGTCCTTACTAAACACTATGGCACCCTATCAAAAAACTCATCAGAAGAGTCCAGTTTTCTTAGTGTGATGCCTGTTGTGTAACCTCTTAGATGCTCTCTTGCCACATGATAAGACGTATAAGCAGTGTTGGCAGTCTGCACATGCGCAGCAGTTCTGAGGCATCCCAAAATCTAGTGTGCCACAGCCTTGTGAAAAGGACTGACATTTTTGGTCCATCTGATTAAACCCTGTTCTGTTTCAGGGACCTTGGGCACAGACTGTCTCCCAGCACAGTTCATACAACCTTTCCTGGCCACCCTCTTTCCTAAGGCTGCTTCCTTGTGGGAAGAGTTGCCTGTAGCCTGCATGAATTATTCTCGGTAAAAATTAAAAATGTAACTGAAAGAGAAAATTTGAGTAATTTTTTTTTTTTTTTTTTTTTTTTTTTTTTTTTTTTTTTTTAATGAGAAATCCGCCCACAGTGCTCTAAGGAAAGTAGCTATTTAGAGACAAAAAGGTTTCTGAAAGAGCTTCTGGTGTTTGAGTAGGGGATAAAATGACTAATAAAACGGCCTTGTTCCAAGAAAGCATTTAGATTTGAGCAGATGCTTAATTTTTGGGGTGTGCTTATGCTTAAAATTAAGCAACTATTTATGTGGAAAACTTACTATAAAGTGTCAAATGCATTAATATGAAGGTAGGGCTACAAATGCTCAGCACACAAACACTGCTTGTAACTTGTAGCTGTTGGGCTGTGTAGTTCTTAGGAGAGTCACGATAAGGCAGAAATTCCCTCTAATTCTGCTTTTGATATTCACCCTGACTTCGGTATAAGCTTTATGCTTTTAAGTTATTTTGCAATAGCTGTGTGAAATATGTTGAAAAATTTTGCTATATAAAAAGTTAAAAGACTGCTTTGGAGAACTGGCAGCAGTAGTGATTCAAGAAAAGAATTGTCACAACATGGTAATTTTCCAGTAAATTAATCATGTTTTTATATCTATGCCTGGCTGTTAACATACCTGCTTCTATCCATATTGCTGATAGCAGACCAAGAGCTGAATGACTGCAGGCTAATGTACTATTCCTGGATGAGCTGTAATCTTAAAATTAAAAATTAGAATGAATACAAGACTGAGTAATTCAGCAGTGTAAAAATGGCAAATCCAGCAAGTCGCAGGATTTTCACAATGAAATCTCTGAAACAGTTTCAAAATTAGAAGATTCTGAAAAATCACAGTGGAGACAGAGGAAGGTTTTCTCAGTTACCACTTCGGGTTGATCACAGGAAATCTGTAAGATTTTTTTAATTCAGTTTCAAACCTGAGCTAACCCTGAGTTTGACATTTGGTAGATCTGGGATTTTGATAGAGTGGCCCAGCTTTCATCACGGAATATTTTATTATCTCTTTAGACGTGCTTTCTCTCATCTTTGGTCAATAATCTATGCAGAGCACATATCAAAAGTGGCTTTACCTTTAAGTAAAATTCGTAAGCATATTGAACTGAGCAAATGTTACTTGATGGAGAAAGTAAGTTCAGGCAAGAGGCTGTGACAACATGAACAGTGGGGGAGAGTAGTATCAGTAACTGGGATTGCTGTCTATGATTTCTACTTGTGAATCTGGTAAACCAAAGTGGCAGGTTAAGACATGGCAGTAGAAGATAAACCTTTGATGAGAACCGTAGTTCTAGAAGAATGAGTCAGTACAACAGGAGCTAGATGGTGAATCTCCTTCAAGCAGGACTGGGAGGTCTTTATCACAAGTTCAGTGAATCCTGGAAGCCCTATGTAAAAGCGACCAGAAGGACTATAGTTTAGTGGGTTTGTGTATTTACAGACAATTTAATCAATCTTAGCTTTGGGTCTTTGGTTGAAGGCATGAGCTGCCTCCCATGGACTTGCTTGCGCCCAGTGGAAACACCTTGCCTTCATCCTGTGCATTTTTTGAATCACAGAATGATTTCTAGGGTGATTTTAAAAATTATTTAATTTAAACTTACTGTACGGGATTGCTCAGAGCATTTGCTATATTGTGATGCCATATACTTGATTTCTTTTCCTTGCAGTTTTGTGGAATTTCTAATAGGTTAACTTCTCTCTCTTTTGTTTTTGGTTTTGGTTTTTTTTTTGCAAAAAGGCTGAAATGCTGTTAGAGATTGGATAAATGTGTGTGTCTATCTCTCTCCCCCTTGCTACACGTGCACCCCCTCCCCTCTGCCTGCTGCCTTGCCAAAGCCCCTCCTCTGGTTGGGAGAGGGGAGTTGAAATAGTGAGCTCCTGCTTTGTGAAGGAAATTTTCTTTCACTGCCTTGCTCAGAGGTGCCTTTGAGAGGAGAACTGATGTGGTTTTGTTAACTTCTGGGCTGAGGAGGTGATTTCGATGGCCATGGGACTGCATGCCATCATTTTACTCTGTGCTGTTGTGGCAGGAGCTTCAGGGAGTAAGTAGAAGAAACTTTTTCCTCTGCAAACATTGATCTCTCTCAATGCGAAATACTTCTGCTAAGGATTGATCTCGCTAGCAAAACTTCTGGGATGCTGTAAATTATGTCACAGCTTACAGGTTTGCAGTAATTCTTGTAGCAGTTTTGTCTTGATTTTCAGTGTAGTGTAGCAATACACTTTACTGAGCTCTCTGGGTGGTACTGGGCAGGTGGGAGGGCACCCTGCCCAAAGGAGTGCACTTAAATAGTGCATCTGCCTGCAGCATTACTGGGGAAAGCAACAGGAACGGTGAGGTTGTGCCAGTAAATTAATTATCTCACCTGAAAATAACATGTTAGTGTCATGTTCTAAAATTGTGCTCGCTTTGATATTTGGCAGATGAAGGACTCCGGAAAGGGTGAATAGATCATGAAATGTCAGTGATGTGGTCCTTTGTCACTCTGGGCTACTGAAAAGAGATAAGTGCACACTGTTTCTAGGGCAGAAATAAATTATGGAAGAAACTGTAAATGGAAGAAAATTTAAAAACAAAGCAATAAGCAAAATTTCTAAATTTGGGCACCTTTGCGAAGTTAACAGTGTCTGATTGTCCAGGGTGCTCGGTTTACCACACTGTCTCTAATAAGCATGTTTAAAAATTCTGAGCACGGCATTCAGGTATCCACGGGGGAGCTGAGAGAGGTCTTAAATCTGGTCCTGGAGAGATGTGCTCAACATCTTAAAAATCTGATGCTACGTGACAGAGATGACTTTTCCAAGTTTGTTTTACCATATATATTTTAAGGTTCTTGAATAAGTTGTACTGATTTCTTTGCTAAAAGTCATTCACTTAACACTGCCTTTTCCCACTGTTTAGAGGCTGAGCTAGATAGCACTTTTTTTACCTGATCCACTAGATACTTAGGGGTGATTTTTTTCCCCAACAAAACTGAGAAGTATATTTCTTTCTCTCCAAATGCACGGTGTTTGAAATGTTAGTCAGTGCATATGTTTCATTTATAGATAGGTATATTTATACAAATTAATAGTTGAGTGATAATTCTCATATGTTACATGACCTGGGCTCCCTATGCTAGAAAGTTTTCTAGTTTTGCAGATATCTGTAGCACTAGACATTTGCTTGAAAAGAACATATTATTCATACTTTTTAAAGGTAAATTCTGAAGTTCCATACAGAGAATTAATTCTGCAAAATAAAAAGGAGCATTTGTTGAGAGGAAAATATAAATGTGGGGGTAAGACCTTTCCAAGAAAAATGTAATTCTACTCTGCAGAAACTTAAATTTTAACTTGGGAATAAAAATATATATAAGCTTGGGTGGGTGCTAAAGAAACAAACACTTTCTTACTTTTATTCCAAAACCAGTTATTTCCCTTCTTACCTCCTGCCAATAATTTTGACATTTCATAAAAAGGAATGAGGAGAAGGGAAAATACGGTTCCAATAAATAATATAAACATGGATTTTTAAATGTTGTAATTTGACAAGAGCATTTCCTTCAGGCATGTGGCATATATAAAACATCCAAAAGCACAGAACCGGAATAAAGAGGCTTTTAAAACTTCTGTCTCCAGTGGGAGACAAAGCTGAGCAACACAGGGATGTTAGTTACCGCTTAACAGGGAGGTTCCTTCATGGGGCTCCTCTCTCAAAAGTCCTGGAATTCACCTTAAGTTTATCACAGAAGTTCTCAAGAGATGGGGACCAGTAGGCCAGTCTTCACCATAATATCTGTGTATTTGCCGGGGGTGAAAGCAATCTGCAATGATTTTGTTTCATGTGCTGAAGCATGATTTATATCAGTCTAGCCCTTGGAGTCCCCAGCCTTGTAGAGGCAATCACAGCAATGCAAAGGAAATAGATACCCTAAAAATGTCACTGTTGCTGAACTGCTTTGTGAAAACAAATTTTTAACTCCAGTTCATCATGGACTTGCATGTTGTCTAGCAGTGCCTACGGTAACTGATGACTGTAATTCTGCCAGGCTTATTTAAGGTTGTTCAGTGTCAGAGAAGTACTAGTTTACTGTGCAGATGTGTGTGCACAGAGTGAAGAAATGGAGGCTCTGTACATGGCAGCCCCAACTGTTTCCCCTGTTGATGCCAATGTGAATCTGAAGCAATTCCATTTGTATGGAGTAAGTGTGTTCTGCATCCCCTTGAATTCGCTGCCTTCCCAGTCAAAGTCTGAATGAAAGTCATGTTGGAGAACAGGCTCTCCAGTGTTAAAGGATGTCTTAACCAACTGCCACCCTTGAGTTGTGATGTGTAAGTGTTCCTTAGTGTGCTGGTGCTGGAAAGGTTTTTCTTGGGCAGTAAAGCTTACTCTTGTTCTGCTTCAAATGATACTTATGATTTCTTGAATGCCCATGTGCAATAAAAATCTTAGCTAAGTATAAATTTTCCCTTACTACAATAAAGTTAAAAACCTATGGATGTGAAGAAGTGTAGTGTATAAAATGTGTATTTCTTTCTCAGATTAAGAACCCCTTTTCTTTAATTTACTTGGTAATCCATGGTATTGTTGCATTTCCATGCCTACCTCAATAAATACACTAAGGCATGTCATTCCTTTATGTATGTGCTTGTGTGGTGTAGATCTGTGGAAAGGGGCAAGAGCAATGCTTGTCCCTGTACACTTGGTAGCAAAACTCATTTTTTTTTTTCTTTTTTTTAAGGGTCATACTTTGGTTTCAGTTATTTCATTGTAACTCAAAATCAGCAGGTCTGTCCTGAGCTGTACACAAAATTTTCAGTGTTCTACTATCTTACCTGTCATTGCAGGATCCTTGGAGAGTTTACATTATGGAGCTTCCTGTTTTGCTGAGTGTGTAGGTGAGTAAAATAAGACTGTTATTCAGGCCTCATATGTGATAAGGAATGAGGGATTTGAAAACTTTCTTCTCTGCAGCAGGGATGTTGTGTTAGAAGAATGATACTTATGTCTGAGTGATCAGCATACATGGAAATAGCAGAGAAGTTTCACTAAGCTTTACCAGGCCCAGATCTGCCTAAAGTTTGCATTCTGTGAACTCAGAAAACTCACAGATACTAGAGCGAAGCAAACTACTAAACCAGTGGAGGACAAAACCCAGCTATATATGAATGTCTCTTTTCCCAGTAACCAGTTTTAGCTCCTTTTGTACTAAAACTGGCATGATGAAAGACTTCTCCTTCAGTAAACAGGCACAAAACTTACATTCTGTAAAGGAGGGACAGATGGGAAGACAGGATATTGAACTGATCTGGAAAGGTTTGGTTGAAAGGCTTGAGGTATAGTTTGTAACTGATGCTTCTGGTTTACGTTGCCAGCAGGTACTTGAATGTGCAAAAGTCTTTTTCATTGTAACAGCAAGGGAGAGCACATGGATATCCTACTCCCGAGGAGATCTTGCCCTGGCCTCTTAGCTACCTACTCAGACCATATGGCTCAGAGACCCTTCATTTATTCACCATTACTTCATCTCTGTGTGGCTTTGTCATTGAAAGCGCTCGAGTGTTGCCGTGCTGCTGTGAGGCAGAGAAAAAGCAGCTCGGTATTATGGGAGCCACAGCGTTTTCTTCTTCATCTAAAGGAAGGGAGAGTATTTTCTTTGATTTTTCCCTCTTGTGCACTTCAGTGGTCCCAGTTAAGGTTGTACCATGATGTCTTTATCTTTTAGGGACACCTTATTCGTTACAATCTCACACACCACAGCCACCAAAATGTGTGGCATTGAAGGTACTATGACTCTGATCTCATCCTTTCAGGGTTAATTCTTATTATCTGGTTTAGAAGAGAATCTCCTTTAATTAGAGGAATACAGAGACCATGTAGCACACATGAGGGTGTCTGACATTATATTTACTAGAAGGCAGTGCTATCCATGGATGCTTGCCAAGTTATTACAATGTCTTCATACAAATACAAATAATCTTTGTCTTCCCTTGCTTTCTCTTCCTCAGCCTGAATCTTTTTGGGCAGACTTTCAGAACCAAAGTTCTTTACTTAAAAAACATGTAATTTAACTTGTCTGAATGTGTGTAGCTCACAGCATGGCCATGAAGGGCACTGAATGCATCAGCGGATCTTTTTCATCTTGCTTTTCCAAAGGTCCTGCTTTGCTGCTCTCTGAAAGGGGTCAGAAAAGCATCATGCCGTAAATGCATTGCATTCCTTTTCTGCTATTGGAAATTAGATTCCTGCCTCAATGGAAATTGTGAGGTTATGTGCATAGGAGAGGGAAATTCTTTAACCTTCTATACAGGAGCTTGCAGGGTGTTTTCAGAAACCCAGTTCTTCCAATTGAAAATCCAAGTGGGAAAGGAACATTCTGAATATCCAGCCTTTTGTTTAGGTGATTTCAGTGGCCAAAATATTAAAAAGTAGAAAAAAATAGGGGTAGGGGGGAGCGTAATAGACTAAAACCCATATTTTTATTTGTTTCCTAGGACACAGTGCATCGTACTTTCCCAAAAGAGCTAGATACAGCTACAGGTATTCAGCAGTCACCAACACATTCCTGCAGGGAAGTATTTACAAAAGCAGTGGCATCTCCCTGGAGAGCACAGTGATCATTGAGGTATTGGGGAACTGCCAGATGGCTTTGAAAGTGAGTATTGTCAAAATCATCTGAGTGATTGGAATGAGCTGACGTGGAACTCTGTATTTCTTAGGGATTACTGCTACATTTAAAACACTTGTTTTTCTTGTAATTAAAAGTGAATTTATTTCTGGATCTCATAATTAGAGTTGAAGCATTTCTTTGATATGACACAGCTTCAAATTCAGTATTTGCCAGTTTTACAGGGCAAATTAAACAATCATTGTTTTCTTTCCTAAGTGGCATGACAGTTTCACTGTTTTGTCACATGAATTGCAGAACTGGAAATGAAGTTAGTCCCTTTGAAAGGAGCTTATCTTATTTTTAATCACTTTCATATCTGTGGCAGTAATTTAAAAATAGCAAGTGTTTTAAAGAGAACTGACAAACTTGTGTGATATGCTGGATTGGTGCCATTCCTAACCCAGTGTAAAATTCAGTCTTGTAACACTCCATTGATCTCGACAGGAGATCTCTCTTTCAGTGACAAGAGCAACAGAGCAGTTTCGGATTACAGACCTTTCCCTGGGGCGAGCCCTGCGGTAGGCCAGTTTGTGAACTACAGTGCTTTAGCAGGGGGAGCATGGAAAATAAACTTCTCTCATCTGCCTTGGTTTTCCTTCAGGTTAACAGAGAGGATAATTCATGGGTTCTGCGGGAGGTTGACATGTCTGTACTGTATACACATATACATGAGGCCAGAGAAGAATAGGATAGTTATCCCTGTCCTAACATGGCCATATGGATAAAATTAACTGGTCAGTGGTCCCCTGACTTTGCATGAAAAATGAGAATTTGAGTACTGTCTTCAGATTGAATCACTCTCTTCTGCCTTGCAATATCAGTGGCTGGATTCCACAACTTCTAGCTCTTTATTTTAATTTGAAGCCTCCTAAGATACGCAAAACAATATGTAGTTGAATGCTTGTCTTTATAAAAAATAAATAGAAAATATTAAGAAAAAGTTGCACCCTATGCTGTACTTGACATGGGATGGAGAGCCACCATTTTGATCTAACATTTGAGGACAGTTCTTCCTTACCACAACCAGCCAAATTGTAAGTACTTTAGGAAATTCCATAATGAACTTAAGTATGCATTTTCTTCTCTGAATTCAGTAAGAGTAAGCTGTGAAATGGCTACTGAATACTGAGAACTTTACCTGGTATAGTCTCAAGAGTCAACTGAGATGGGTAGTCATTTTGCTTCTCAACTGGAGTAGAAAGAACTTGGGTTTATCCAGGCTCCTACTTTACCCCAGAGCAGGTAATTGCTTCTGGCCTGGAAATGAAAGGGATATAATAGTGCCATATAAAATGTATTTAATAGTAAGTGAAACTTTGTAGAAGAAATTTCTGGAAACCATCTCAGATATACAACCTGAAGATGTGACTATGCAGTTGTGTCGCTTGCAACACTGAGCCTTTTTTGAGCCTTTTTCATAGCCTGTGACATTCTGTGTAGGTATCCTTATGTGACAAAGTCCACAAGTTCCTATTGACAATGATATTTGTTGCTCTATAACCTTTGCTCCTAGGTGCAAGATGTACAGATTAAGAAAAATCTTGCATCCAGAGAGGAACCTCTGAAGGAAATGGACAGTCTAAGGTAGAAAAACTTCTGATCTGGTCTAGTTCTTGTGGTTTTTGAAGCTGTATGGCTTTGCAGCAGCTTGACTGACGTTGTTCACTCTGTTTCATACTCTGTTTAGTTTTAGTTGGGTTTGATTTTTGGTGCTTTTTTTTTTGAAAAAGCAAGGATGGAGATAAAAGCACCATCAGCAAAATGAGAGGCATTTTGTTCAAAAAGGTTTCTTTGAACCTAATTTTCATCCCTTTGTGTGTAAAAACATTTGAAGAGTAGACAATTAAAACTGTTCTGGGTAAAAATTATCAGACCTGTAGCTGTCTAGCAGAGTGTATGAATTGCTCACTAGTTCTGTGAGTTGCAGTTGTTACTTGTATAGACTCTTAAGTTTTGAAATACATTTCAGAAGTTCTTGGTTTGGTGGATTCTCCTGATACAAAATGTTGGCGCTTTTTTTCCAGGATATTTAAACTGTATTTATTCATCTAATGTAATTTTCTTCCTTTTATGTTTTTGGTTTTAGTAGCTCATTCATAACATATGTTGGTGTGTTTTCCTCTGACTTGCAAAGGTATAGATCCTAGTGAAGATGCCTATACAAAAAGGTCTCTTCAAACTGTGGAGGTCTGGTGTTTTCCCAGAAAGCTGATGCTTCTTCAGAAAAAAAACAGTTCTGTTGTCTGATTAAGCTCAGCCTTGTAATCTTCTTTGTCCTGCTACTTGGATTCTCAGCCTTTAAACAACACTGAGAACTGAGGTAACTGACTCAATTCAAAGGGTCAAAAAGAGCAAGTTTGGAGTAAATGTGTTGCTTTTTATATTAATCAGGAAGAGCTTTGTGTTTCACAGCACTGGTAGTGGTACCAGTTCAAATCAGAGTGCAGGCACATCTGTGAAATTATTTGTAGGATTTTCATAGAGGTAAGAGCAGCTGTGTCTTGTTCTTGGCAGAGAAGCCAAAAAATAGAGGTAGGAAAGAAAGCATTCAGTGAAGCTTGGCTGTTGAAAATAATTATTCAGATGAGTGAACCTTATTAGCATTTGCCTCAGCCTATTGTGAATATACAGTGGTCTAGCTTGCCCTCTGAACATGCATGTAATTTCCACAGATAGCAGCAAAAGCCGCCACTGTTGCCTAGGAGTTCAGAAACCCTTATTCCATATGCACAGTCTTTTCTTCTGGAAAGACTTTATCCAGGTGTTAGTGCATTAGAAGTTTTTCTCTTACATTGTCTCCATGACCCAGCTGATTAGATAAACAGTTCCACAGTTAACGTGCAGGTGAACTGTGCATCTCCCTGTGTGGGACCTGACCATTGGGCTACTGTAGAATTTTTCATTTGGATGATTTGTATTTCCCCATCTAGAGGGGAAACATATGATTAAAGTACATTATATTAGTAGTGAAAATCAGTGTTGAAAAGGGATCTCTTTTAAACACTGTACTCTCAACCTGGGATACCAAAAGCAATCAGGGGGTTGATTGACAACAGAGACTGGGGAATGACTTTGAGATAGAGCCCAAGTACGTACACCTAGCAGAGCAGGAAGAGAGGGGTTGATTGGAAAGTGTGTATCACAGCTGAAGAGGAATGATAAAGAGTACATGCAGCTATGCCAAAGGCACCCTGAATCATAAAATGGAATTTCTGTCTTACATTAAACAAGAATTGTTGCCCTTAAGTATAATTACTTGTAAACAATTTACCAGGAGTTGGCTTTTAAGTGTTACAGTTATGTCAAAGATGCTGTGATTATCTTGATAGGGTTGTTTTGGGGGTTTTGTTTTGTTTTGGTTTGTTTTTTAAGGGTTCTCAGGATCAGGGTGAATTCATGAAGAATAGAGGTGTGCTATAAAGAATAGTGATACAGAATAAGACAAATCCATTGTGGACAACAGCTCTGTTCAGAAAATCTTGAGTTTAATGCCATAAACTGACTTGCAGCAGCTGTTTGAAGCAAGAAACTATAAACTATTTTGTTGCAGGAAAATACTAGAAGAGCATCCTCTTCATTTTTCTTTCCATGATGGGAAAGTTCTGAAGCTCTGTCCTGTGAGGAGCGAACAGACCTGGGCACTGAACATAAAGCGAGGCATTCTCAGTGTCCTGCAGACATCACAAGCATCCACTGCTAGTGCAGTTGTTGAAGAGGTGAGGCTGTTGGTAGAGTCATGCTCTAGGGAGGCTGTTAGCCCTTGTACACATGAAGTCTATTCCCTTTGGAAGTAACTAAAGTTTTTTGCCACTTGGTGACTGGTCAGCAGCCAGTGGTGGTTGTCTGATTGCTTTTTGTAGTGAATGTTATGTAATTATCTATAATTTGCATTCTTGCTGAGGGTTGGAATCCACTACTTGGTTACCTGAGGAAAAGCTGTGAATTGCAGAATTTTTTCTGAGGAGTTGTAACACCAGGACTTGTGCTTTACCTGTTTTCTGGGGAAAGTACAGTATTCATTATTCATGATTATTCATCATTACTTTTTTCATTAATTTCAGGAGGGCTTAAAATGAAGCTTCTCAGGGCTCTTTTTTTTTTTTTTTTTTTTGAATACTTAAGCTCAAGTTCTGCTGTTACACTGAAATAATAGACCAGAGTACCCCAGTGTTGCCCATGTGTTTGCATGAGTGCAACTGAGATACCTCAACAGCTGCACTTCTGTTGTGTGGAGCCATCTCTAGACTGACCTTCAGCATGGTGTATGCTATTCTCATGCCATTGCTACATATGAGTGCTTAAATAGATGTTCTGCAATAAGGCTTGGGACACCCATATTACATTTCTTCTGAGTAGAAATGCGCTTCTGATTTAATGCTTCCCTACAAACCCACAAAATCTTATATGAAAAAGCATACATCTGTAAATGATCTGATTCAGAATAACACTAAAATTAAACAAATCAACAAACCCTGGCTATTATGAAGTTTGACCAAGGTTTTTAAAATTTGCCTGTCCATGGCTTTTGTAGCAAAGCCAGTGTCCTGCAAGGGAGAATTTAGATCTCTGTTGTGTTGTTATTACGACAAAACAATTATTAAAATTAATTGTAACAGCCCATAATACCTGCTCGTATTGTATGTGTGCATGTGTGATTCAAGACTATATGTTTGTTATTAGGTGGATGTTCTGGGAATATGTCCAACAAGGTATCAGCGAAAAGGTCCTATTCTTATCAAGACAAGGGACTTGAACCTCTGTTCTCATCGGTATTCTGGTTTTACTTCTGTGCAGTCTGTTGTTCTTCCTCATATGTCGGTAGGTGTTGGGGAATGACACTGATCCTTGCACTCCTTGAAGAGTCATAATGCAAATGAAAACATTTTTATATAGTTGTTTATGCTCAATTATATTTGTCTGTGTCTGCCCAATCCTTAGCAAATTCTTAGCAAAGAATTTAATATTATTGTCCCTGCAATGCATGTCATTCACAGAATTTGTTTTCAGTGCAGGTTTGCATTGTAGTTGATGAACATTATTGTATAAATGCAAGAGGTTTTTAGGCACCTGTATTAAACTCTGTCATTAAAACATGTTGTAATGGTAAACTGAAAGTAGAGCATAAAAGAGAGGAATAGAAAGATGTGGATAAGAGAAATACATTATGCAAAGAAAGATGTTATTTGCAGAAAACTTTGGAAAGATAGAAGCTTTTCTAAAATCCAAGCTTACAGCTTTCCACTGTTCACGCGAATATAGTCAATGTTGGTATCTTGTGCTGTTTTTATTAGGAGAATATTTCTTGTTTCTTGTATTGTACTAGCTAGTCATAATTTACCAGCCTTTTGCTTTTTTTCAACTCTGCTGACTGGAAAGGTGAGCTTAACACTGATGTTTTGTGAACTGAAATGGATTGAGACCATTTGACATTGGAAGTTAGTAGCAGTTGCATTTCAGTGATGGAAAAATTAGATTGCAGATAAAGAGTATTAACCTCCGCAGGCTAGGCACTGTTAAATGTCTAGACAAGAGACTCACACTGTATCACAGAACTGGAATCCTCTGTGAAGTTGGGAGTAAAAGGATTGGGCAGGCTGACATTGGTCATCAAGAGTTTACCTGAAGTATCTGCTCTTCTCAGTCTGAGCAGCAGATCCTGTCCTCCAATCTGGAATGTGTTCAGAGCATTAAGGATGGAGTCCTGGCAGAGGCCAAATGTGCTGAGTCCAACCTTCTTGCACTGTTCTCTCAGAAGGGCAGTGGGGCAAAGACACAGACACAGTCTTCGCTGAAACTCTTTCAAGTGGAAACAGAGACACTGTACAAAAAAGGTAACATGATGTTTTTGCTAAAATAAATTTATTTGCTAGAAAAGTCTTGGGGCTGCGTCTATTTCCTTTAATGTATTAAACTATGTGAAAGTGGATGTTTTTACAGGCTGGACTACTGAGAGCTGTCCCTTCTCTGGGAATTGGGGCCTGCTATTATGAAGCTGAGAGGGTCTCCAGAAGTGATAGATTTCCATAATAGCCAACTTTATGTACCTAGACCCCTTGTATGCAGAGCATCAGCCTTCCAGTGTCTGTGGACAGTTCCTAGTTTGTGTACAAATGGAGTACAAGTGCAATTATTTAAGTGCAAGTCCTAATGGAACTAAGAACTGTTTTAATTTTTGCTCCTTCTTTGCTCTTGTGTGCTTCTCCTTAGGAGAATGATTTTACTGAAGTCAGTGGGAGGCTTGCCTGAAGAAAGATTTTAAAGTTGAGCTCTAAATGTTGAGAAACAATTTGTACTATTTTTTGTCTGCTTCTAGCTTTGTTTTTTTAAAAGGAAAATCCAAATTTCCAGGACCCTTTTTGTTTATAGTTATTTTGACATAAGATGACAAGGTTCTTCCTCAGGAAGAGATTAAGAGCCAAGCCAATTATTTTTCTTGGCACCTAGATCTCCTGTTGAGTTTTTAGGAGACTGAAGTGTTGAACGGAGCAAGTGTTTAGATAAAATTGGAAAGGGTGATGAATGTAAAGTAGCAGGGCCATTATAAGAGGCATATTGATGGAAAGTGAGACTTTTTTTCATGCATATCTTCTTTGTCTTGTTTCTCTGACTCTTTTTTTCTGGTCACACTTGTCTTTAGGCCTTTCTTCTGTTGTGTTCTTGATTTCAACGTGACTGCAGGCATTCATATTCATCCATGGCTTTACCGAGACTAGAGAGATTTTTCCATGTAGAAATAAAGGCTCAGAGAGAAACTTTCCCCTAGCATTTAGGTTTAAACATAGCAAATGGTTGGCAACCACCAGATACCTGATTTTTCCTTATATCTTTCCAGTGGACTATGAGGATCTGTATGTGACCAGCATGCTCTATGAAAGGGAAGAAACTGAGAGGACAGTCACTGGAGGGGAAGTGACTGAACTGGTGTGGAAGCTTTGCTTGGCACATAGTACAAGTTTTGAGGTAAGTTTTTACATGTAACATTCGTTTCCGTGTAAGACCTTTTGTGGCCTGAGAGTTCTCCCACAGAGATAGGAGGTGACTAGGAGAGCAGCAGTTTTGAAATACTGAAGCCTTCCATTGTTTTGGTCATTTTTTAATGTGGAATTATAGAAAGATAAAGTGCTTTGAAATGTCACTTTCCTCTATAAACAATAAATCAAACTGAAAAGAAGAGTCAAAACATCATATGGTCCCTGAATATTGGGCAAAAGTTTTGCTGTGGAAAAACATCAAAAAAAAGTGTCTGGTTTGGTTTATCACTGATAGTTTTGATGTTTAATTGCAAAAACCCTTTCCTACAGCTTTAGTGTGGGATTCTAGCTCTGGTAGTGCTGTTGTTTCCATGATGGTCCTTCTCCTGTTGCCTCATCCCCTCAAAACAGTCTGCACATGAAACCCTCGCCTCTAGATCTTGGCTGGTTGGTTCCACGTGCTTCTGATTAATTCTTGTAATAACCATCATGGTTTTTTGGGATGCTGCTTGGGTCCAGAGGGAGTCTCTTCTCACCTAAACCATTTTCATTGGTGAATATTGTTAAGATAGAATGTAATATTCTGATCATATGGAACATACAGTAGCTTAATTTTTTTCTATAACAACTATCATTCTATCTGAGGGTCTGCCTGTCTCCTTAGCTCACACAGGTCTTGTAATTGTTGTTGATACTGGCAGCAGCTGGATCAATTAGTATTTGTCACTGTCTTTGAAATGAAGATCCCTATTTTCTGTGAAATTCAGAGATTATAAAGAACACCTGTTACGTACAATACAGAAGGATCAACAGATGAAGGTGCTTAATCACTGTTGACCTGAGATGAACTGAGGGCAATGACCTAAAAGACAGGGCACTTCATAACTCATTATCCTTCAGATAGAGTGGTTCTTGCTAGTAATGAAGTTCCTGTATAGAACAACATGAAAAAAACATAAATTTGAAAGTACAAGAACACATTTCTTGTTTAAGTCATTCTTGATCAGGATATTAAACAAATATGGTCTAATGGGGAAAGCGCTGAACTGGGCCTTGGTGCCTCCATGAATTTGCCACTGATGGGTTTATCCCATCAGTGACAGTGATTTATGATCAGCTCATTCCTGATATATTTCCTGTCCTCTGATGTTAATGTCTTGTTAGATTGCTTGTTCTTTGGAGCAACGTTATTTCTTGTGCAGTGGGGCTGTGATCTCTCCTGTAAATGCACGTGGATACAAGTGATGTTAACACTGCTTCAGACCTAGCCTAGGAGAAAGCACTTCTTTGTCTAGGTTAAGTCCCATGTCAAAGAACAAAAGCTCTGCCTGTCTATTCCCTGGGGGACACACAGATACTGGGAGATAGAGTACAGGCTGTATGGGGACTGGAGAAGAGTGCACTGCTGAATTACAACTCTGTGGGCCAGGGGTGCCTGTTTAGAAATTAATATACTATGTATATTCACCTTTCTCTTAGCTTTGCTGTGATTAATGAGCACAAGGAGGTGTTTGTGTAGTGTGGTGTGAGACTTAAGGCGAAGGCACAGGGTAGAGAAGGATCACAGTCACAACTACTTCAGTCAGCTAGGATAAATTACAACCCTAGAAGTTACTCCCAACTTATTAAATGGTGATCATACTCTGACCTGGTATCCCAGCCTGACAAAGACCTCAGTGAGGGCTGGGGAGAAAGCAGCAGGTGGCCTTTCTGGGTGGTGGTATCTGGGATAGGTTTCTCTCTCTGAGTTATAAGCAAGTCTGCCATCTATTTTAGCTGCATGCTAGGGAGACTGGGGCTATAGAGAGCTAAAAGAGCCTTAATGGTTCTAATGCTAGATTAAAAGCAGCCTCTTTGGGTATGATAACACCTAATTCTGTGTGACTGTCATTGTAACAGCAGTATGTAATGGCATTTAGGAACAGCTTAGAGGGCTACTTACCACTTGGAAATTGTTGAAAAAAGAAACTCCTGCAGTGGACCTGAGAAACTTTCTGCAAATCCTACCTTCTTTTGAACACTCGTAATTGAGTGTCTTTGAAAGAATGGTAGACGATTTTTCCCAGTAACAGTGGGATGTCACTTCTGTCTCCAAAGAGGCCCACTGACTTCATGTGTGGGAAATTTGTTTTGTAAATTACTAAGATTAGCACAAGTGGCTGCTGTCTGTGCCGCTGCCTAAAAAAAGAGGTGAATTATTCATCATATGCCTGTCCCAGCACAGGGTTCGATTGGTTGTTAGCCATTTTCACTGTTTCAGGGTGTTCCTTCTGTGTGACAAGACATTTCAAAGGGATCTTTATTATCCCTCATTTCAACCAATAAAATGTCCTTTGGGCCAGGAAAGAAGTTGTGGGAATGCCCACAGCGTTGCTTGGGAGACAGCTCCGCTGTTACTTATGTATAGCGTGTTTGTCCCTTTATTGTTTGACTCTGAATGAGGCGAGATTATGCATTTCTTTCAGGACACAAAACCAAGAATAAATGCAAGGAAAAATCCCTAACTCTAGGGAAAACAGTGAAGGGATGAGAAAATGGGGGTGGAAACTGTCATTTCCAAGGAAGCAATGTTGTTGTTAATTTTTTAATGCTATTATGAAACAAGATTCTATGTGAATGTAGATTAGCTAATGGACCATTAAGTGAACAAGCTGCATACTGACAAAGAATGGTCAAAGGGATAGGGAGAAGGGACCCTCACTTGAGAGAGGCTTGAAGGAAGCTTGTCACACAGCTTCTGCTGGGGGCTACATTTACATTTAGCCGTCTGGGTTTTGGTGCTGGATTGGTTGCTCTGGTGAATGTGGCCGTGTATGCATTAAGCAGTGTGGGCAAGAGTATGTCAGAATGTGTCAGATTCACTCTGCCCAACTCCTGTACCCCAGTCAGACCCAAAAGAGTTTACCTTTAGGGCATGGTCTCACCATTTGCTTTTCTCATACAGCATTTCTAATTGCTAGTTACTACCTACTTGGGTGTTAGGATTTGCATGTTTCTAATTTGTGGGTGTAGGGAGTATCACTGAATATTTCCCTGGTAAGGAAGATGTTCTGATTATCAAGATGAATTAAGATACTCTAGTTATATGGATGATTTTGGTTTTTGAAATTCAACTGTTCTTTTTCTGTACGACTATAGTAAAGACTTCTATTCCTAGTAAAGTTATTGTCTGCTTTGAATTGGAAAGCCTTAGAAGAGAGTATTGGGAATGGCCCATTAGGTCACTTAAACCTGGTCCATGACCAGGCACAATTACATCCTTCCTGATGTTGAGGGTGAAATAAGGTTAAGGTTAGGTTAAGGAAAGGTAAGAAACCAAATAAGAATGAACTGATGATGATCAGAAGGAAGGGAAGTTATGCCATGGCAAGGAGAGAATAATGATAGCTTTCCAAACAGTAGACTTCAGGGAGAAGAGAGCATCCATCTGGTTTCATGCTTTGCCTTCAAAAGAATCACTTTAACACATGTATAGCTGAAAAGAGAAATCGGACATCAGGAAACCAGAAGAGAGAGCTATGTAATTCCAAAGAGATATACTATATTTACAGGAGAGAAGGCCTCACACTTGAATTGAGAACATAAATTAGTAAGCAAAGTGAAAGATGTTCATTTGAACACATTTTCAAAGCAACTTCCCTGGTGATTACATGGGCCTATACTTGGCAGCAAATAGGGTGTCAAGCTTTTAAAGGATAAGTGTTTGTATATATCATAAATAAAAACTCTTTTCTTGGGAAGCATTTTACTACTTTACCTTCCAATCTAAACTATACCATGTTTATGTTTTCGGAGGATTTTTTTTTTTTAATAGAGCTACAGTAAGCCTGCAGATAGAAGGAAAATCAAGCTTCTATGTAGAATAAAAGCCAGGCTTCCTTATGTTTTGATGTGGGAATAGGAACCAAATTTGCATGTAGTTTGTTATTATGATACTGCATATAGAGGAATTTGCAATTATCTTATTGTTTATGTGACAGCTCGATTTCAATGTGACCTACCATAAAAAATACAAACAGCCCACCTGACCAGACAGTTCATTCTAAAGCTTTATTATTAGGAAGTAAAACCAGCCGTTTCTCTGTGAAATTTTGCAAAGTTATTATGTGGGAGCTTGTCTAGTCAGCAGGTGTGAAACAGAATGAAGTCAGTCTACAGTCTAAAATTATATTACCTGGAAATATATCAGTCTGGAAATTTTGTCCTGGACTGTGCTGTGCCACCTGAGCTCAGCAGCAGCTGCACACGCAGCTCCATGTGATGACATCTGCGAGGCTCCCGAGCTCCACGAATCCTGCTGCCCATAGTGTATTTGCCTGTGTAAAAATGCACGTAAGGCTCGTGTTTTACAAATGCTTTTGAAGAACTTCGTTAAATACAGTTCTTTGAATATTTTTATAGACCATGAAATGTCATGTGTTTCACTACCTCCGTAGTGTTAAGGATTTGGTAATTTGTTTTTAAAGGAGCCCTTAAAGGTAAGGATGGGATGGCATGGGATGGAATAGAATACATGTGGATCTAACTGAATTTTAGCTATGGAATTACAAATTATATAAGAATTAATACCTAGGTAGGGCTTCATGTACAAGAAAAAATTTCAATTTGATGAAATTAATATACTATTGCTAAAAAAAAAAGTTACAAAAGGACAAAAACATAAACAATGGTTGTATTGGATCTGAGAAATTATTCCCCCAGCCTATCAAACAACACAGTAAGAAATTACTCCATCTTCTTACTGAAAGACAGCTTCTTTTTACTGAAAATGTCTTGGCAATCTTAAATTGAAATAAAATGCTGGCACTGGGTTATTCCAATTTTTCATTGCTTTTGGAAGCAGCTCCTGGAAGGAAGGTCAGGTAGTCAATGTAGGTCTCTTCCCAGACCTTTGGAAATGAGACTTAGTGGGTTTAGACTTTGTTTGTGTGACTTTTACACAAAGAAAAATGTTTTTCTTGGAACTAGAGAAGTAGTTCTATGTATAAACCTTTCACATCTGAAGTGAGTAAAGGATTGCGGTGAATCAGTATGACATGGACCATGATTAAAACTTGTACATTATAAAGATAGGTTGAAATGAACATTCAAGCTATTGTATTTAACATTCTGCTAATTTTTCAAGTAATGAGACCTATCTCCCTTCTCAAACTTTGGATCAGGTCTCAGAGGAACACATCTACATGCTACTTAGCCTTTAAAATACCCTTTTCTCCAAAGCTTCTACTGAGGCCAGAATAACAGTGTGATGAATAGTGTATGTGCAAATGAAAATAATCTGTAAAAAGGAGAAAAGATCCTCCTTCCTCAGCAGAGGATAGACTGGGTTGGTAATACAGAGCCTAGTTTGAGTCAGGATGTCACTGAAATGTTTGTACTCCACAAAAAATAGAAAGGCTTCTGTTGTCTTGATAATGTGTCAGTTCAATTCCATATTTGATTAATTTGATTTCCAGCATCCCATTTTAGAAAATAAAAATTATTGCTGTTAATATAATACACATCCAAAAGCACCTTGAGACAGTAGTTTCTAAAAAATATTTGTTTCAGCTGGTAGAAAACTGATATTGCCATATAAGTTAAGTGGGTGGTGGGAGTGGTGTTTTGTTTTTTTTTAATGTAAAGTCTAATACAGGTAGCTACTTAACAGAAAAGTGTGGGTCAGGTCTGAATTGCTTTTAATTTCTTTCAGCCATGCATGTGCAAATAAATCATTAAACAGAACTATTCAGCTTCAACTGTACAGCTAGATTGAAGTACTTAATTTTTTTTTGATGAAGTAACCATAAAGTAGATTTTTCAGTTTTGCCCACAAGAGCAAGGGGCAGCATGTGAATGAAGGGCTAGAATTTATTTACGCTGTGTGTATGATGATGTACTGCAGGTAAAATAGCTGCTATATGTTATAGCAATTCAGTTTAGCTCTTATGATCTTCACTGTTAACTAATCCTGTGCTGCCTGCAGAGGTAAGAGCAGTTATGCTTGAGATTTTCCCCAGTAAAATGGAATATTTTCACACATTGAGCTCCAGAGGTATTCAAGCAAAATTTTTAAGCATTGTCCAAACCTCAGTTAAATGATTTTTCTCATGAACTTAAGGCTGATATGAAGTTATATTATTTCATTTTGTGTTAAAGCTATGTCAGCAGCTCTGGTCATAAATCAGGGTCTTGTTATACAAACTCAGAGAAGATTATGGCCTTCTCTTCTGGATTGTAACAGTGCTGCACTGTGGTTTATTATTCATTTGTACACTAGTGGTGTGCATAGTGGTCACTGAGCACTGTTGATTGAGGGACAGACTGATATCCTAAGTGAAAGCCCTTCTCCTTGTAAGTTTGCAGCCTGAAGAGAAAAGGAAGGAAGATAAGGGCACAGAGAAGAGAGAAGGTTTTACTCTCAGGTTACACTGTAAATCGGTGGCAATGCTGCTATAACCCAAAGCCTTTGTTGTGCTCTGTTCTCTAAAGCTGGTTTCTGCACTGCTGTAATATTAACATTGGTTGTTGTGCTCTCTTACAGACTGCAGACCTTTTCATGACTCTTGTCTTTGAGCTTCGACATCTTTCTCTTGAGACCTTAAAAGTTCTATGGCAAAGATCTTCATTTAAATGCAGAGACAACTGGTAAGGTCCCTTTAGTAACAGCATTAAATAAAATATATATTTAGGAAATAAATGTTTTGTAAATATCTAAAATAGATGAAAGTTCTAAATCCATGCCCAAATGTTGGATTTAAAATTGGAACACTTTAAGGAAGAATATGTATTGCAGATCTTGTTTATGTGACAGAAGGATGATATTCTTACTGAATGAACATTGCATACAAAATAGACTTTCCTGTCCCGTGCCTATTCCCACAAACAGACTTCCTGTTCGAGGAACAATGTGAACAGGAAACTCGAGTCATGGCTTAGATGGAAATCAGTGCTGCTGGTTTTAAGCATCTACTGCCATTTGTTATGAAAAAAAAGCTTACCTGGATCTGTACCTTCGGTGCTCTTAGTACTCATGGGGGAGAAGAGACAAATGTTAGGCTGGGAGTATGGACATGGTGGAACTACATCTTTCAGTAGCAGCCTAACCTCAGGATGATTTATACCAACCACGGAATTGCAGCTTTAAAGATCAAGGCCCCCACATCTCTGCAGCCAGGAATAGTTCTGAGCCGTTGGTTTGAAACTTTCAGAACTACTAATCAAGTATTTTTAAAATCAATGTCATTTTTTTCCTCCCTCCTTTAAAAACAGTATTCTGAAAAGTATAGACAAAGATTTTTTTACTTGGTTTCAGTACAAAATGTCATCAGCCTGTCTGAAATTAATCTAATGCCAGGTTTTATATTTATAACAGTATCTTAAACTTTACTTCATGCAAAAGGGGCAAACTTTGTTTCGGCTTAGACTTATTCTCACCTTTTGACACATAGCCATGCTAATATTTTCAGTATTAGAAAGTAATTTAAACTACTTTGCCTCTTTCTATATTGACTTTAGACTCATTTTACTCAGGACAAGGTTATTAACTTTAGGAGCTAGAAATAATCCCATGGAGACCATTCTTTTACTCTGATGCAAGTGCTTTTACCCAGTTTAGTTTAACTGCTTCCTAGTTAAGGCAAAAGTGTCCATCCACCAGTATAGGAGGTTGGTACAGAATATTTACAGAGGGACTCTTAAGAGCCGAAATGTGTGTTGTCTTGTCATGCTGGTGTAACCTTTCCACTTTGACAAGGCCTAAAAAAGCACGTGAAGTAAAAGCTAGTCAATTCCGGTTTATTATTTCCATTTTTTATCGGTGAAATGAAAAAACCCCACCTTAATTGCAAATCAGTGCTTTAAGGTACCTCAGTCTTTAGAAGTCAAACTTTGGATATGTTTTGGCTTCATTTTCAGAGAAAACAACTGAATATTTTCCTAAAAGCCTGGTTACATACAGTTTTTGAAACACCAATACACTTTACCTTGGCTGAGGCATGTTTTTAAACCAAAGGATAGTCTTGATTTCCATGGAATCTGGCATTTGCGAAGCTGGTGGACTTTTAGTTTTCTTGAAAGAAGCCCAACCTCAATGTGTTTGTTAATTGATTCTGGAGTGTTCTGGTCATTTTAGATTCGCTGTACTTTTTTGTTGTGTTACAGGCAGCCACTAATAGATGCTCTCCCATCTTGTGCTACAGAGGCATGTGTTGTCCTAATGAAAGAAATTATAGCTTCTGGAGAAGTTGAGGAAGACAAAGTGGAATATTTCTTCTGGTCATTTTCATTCATTCCTAAACCCACCTCAGGCATGATTGAATCTCTTGCTGTGAGTGGATGTTGTTTTTTTCTTTTTATCATCAATCTAGCTGGCTCATAATTTTTGTATTTTACAGAAATAGTCTTTTTCACAGATTTATACAAAACTCTGCATGTCCAGGTAATTTTGTTGATGAAACTAGTGGCTATTTTAATCTAGAGTCCAAAAGAGAATGCAATCATGTTTGGTCAGCGGAGCTTGATTTCCATTTGTAGCCTAGAAACTTTTTTTTTTTAAAAAAAAAGAAGTGTGAAGTACCCTATGGATTCCAGAGACTGGTTTGGACTAATTAGGTTTGAGGTTCAAGGTCAGGTCAGTGTGAGGAGAATTAAGCTGTTGCAGCTACTGCCTGTGGTGGATAGAGAGATTTATTCTCCAGTTTAGTCCCTTACAAGCTTTGTACTTAGCACCTGGAGACATTTCAGTCTGCAGAGCTATTGCAGCTTCTGACATTTTTCTTAACTAATTGTATGCAGAATAATACTGGCTCCATTTTATAGTATATTTTTCCTTTAAAGATCTGTTGTTCTACTGACTTTATACAATGTAATCTATCATGCTCTTGAAATCTGAAGTTGGACTTGCTATGTTTTTTTGTGAAGCTGCAGGTGGTAAAATCATAGATAGTCTTGTAGCTTAAATAAGCCATTTAGAATATTTCACTAATCAAGTAAAATGTTATGCCCGCTTGGCTCATGAGCCATTGATCAGCCATGGAGAATCTTGCGGAGTGTAGCACAACCTGCTGTTCCAAATCATCCAGGTTCCAACCAGGAGTACAAAAGACAGCTCTCGGTGTTAGCAGGCTTTCCACAGCATCTGCATGTAATAGTTCATCTTGAGTCCATTTGGGCTTTGCAAACATTGGTTGCAGTGGTGGGATTTTCAAAAGTTAACAGACTTGCTTCAGAGGATACAGAAATTTGCAAGGTTTATGGGACAGCAAAACTAGTTTTCATTCTAAAAATGGGTAAACTGCCCATGACTTACTGAGCTGTCAGTGTTTTTTGCTAAGTATTGAGGTGGGACTTAAAGAAACTGTGTAGTGGTAAGGGTTTTACTATTTTGAGGGTCCTGGAAAGTAGTTTAGATTTGTTTTCACACTCCTTCCTAAGCAGGCAGGGCAGATTTCTCCTGAAAAGAACTGAAGTCTATATCACATTGACACTAATTTTAGCCTGTATGTTTACATGGGAATGTAGAAGAATTTTCCACTATATCCCTGTAGGGATGTCCTTGTTTGTTTCTTTAAATCCTTTAAGGGCTGTTTGAAAATATGCATTGCTGAGGTTGAGTTTTAGTATGTAAATGTCTTGATACATTTATTTTCTATGGTATATTACAGTAATGATGCGAATTACTTTTCTGAAACACCCTGTTCTTTTTGTGCTTGTTTACAGCCTTTGCTGAAGTCACCAGGAGCAAGCCAGAGCTGCTTCTTAGGAGTAACTGCTCTCTTACATAGATTTTGTTCAGCTTACAATTCCTGTGGTGGTGTACCTGCTGTGCAGAGTGTGATGAGGACTCTTGGGAAATTTTTGGGAGGAAACTGTACTGTGCAAGATTCAGAACGACTCAGCAAAGTATCAGTCATACAGGAGTATATGATATAGTGCTTTACTTTTCTATCCCCTTTATGATCTAGAGCTTGTTTACTGAAAATGACATTCAGTGGATTTCCAGAAAGCCATGAATACAAGCTTTGTAAATGAATATTCTTCGGTAGGATGGGCTGGTAAAATTTTGTAATCCAACAAGTACAATCTATCAGCATGGGCATTCTTGTTTATTTGAATAAGGAAAAGTCTAGGTCTTCTGATGAAGCAAACTTCATACTGTTAATCAGTATGAAGAACATGCACCACTCCCCTGTAAAATGGCACATTGATGAAAGTTTCCTGTTCCTTTGTTGACTCAAATTCATGTACGATTCGTGTTAGCTGTGTTATTCCTGGCTAATAAATTCTGCTGAGTCAGTGTTACTGGCTGGGAGACTAACAGGAAAGGAAAATCATTCTTGCTGTTTGTGATCTTGAGTTAGGAGTAATTCCTGTTGCAGTTCTGGGGCTTTTTATCTTTAATTGACATTTGCTGCTGAAGAAGCATCTTTATATCTTCTGTTCGATGATCTACTTAAACAATTGGTTCTTCCTTATCATGCTTAGAAAATAGAGATACCAGAGACAGTGTAACAGATAGCAGCAGTAAGAGCCCAAGAGCTAAATTTATCTCAAGTATTTGTGTCTGTTTAATTTTCCAGTGTGCAAGCTAACACATAGGATTTGTATTTTTTTTTTCATACAGTATGAGCAGTCTGTTCACTTAATTCTTAGACCATTTATTGAAGGAGTAACTTTAAAAAACAGATTTTACATATTGGGAGCCATGAACAAAATTTTGTTTAAAAAAATGAAAAGAGATTGCATTGATGAACATTTTTGTCTTCCTGTTAGCCATAGAATCATAGTTTCTGTGTGATGTATGAAATTACCTAATTCATTTTGGTAGAATCGGGATTTTATGTGGTTTGGGGATATATTACTCTCATTAGAAAAAATTGGAATAGATGATGTGTCTTTTAAACTCTGTGGTCTCCAACAGAACGAGGCATCACTGCACTGGTGAGTGGTCTCATGTATTTCCCTCAGCTTCCTACCCACACCCAGGCTACTCACTGGGCAGGTGGAGTAGGAAACAGAGGAAGCCTTGACGCTGTGCAAATAACTGCTCAGCAACAGCTAAAACTTTGTTATCAACACTGTTTTGGTCACAGATCTGTAACACAGCATCATACAAGCTGCTATGAAGAAAATTAACTCCATCCCAGCCAAAACCAGTACAACCACCCAACTGCCTGTTTTCATGAGAACTTTGCTTTTTTTAAGCCTATTTGTCTTCCAAGATATCTGATTAAAATTAGCCAAGAGATCAGTAAATCAGAACAGGGAACTGATGAAGAGGAGCACAGTGAGACAGACTGCCCAGGTCTCTTAGCTTCCTGAAAACTGCTCTGTAATTTACCACTGAAACACAGCTGTCTGATGAATGAAGAGCAGCCCCTTGAAACTCGGCAGCATGTTGCAGTGAGTGAGCGTACAGATGTGTGGGAGAAGTATCTCTGAGTATGACAACTTTCCTGAATATGCAGAGCAGAATAGGAGAGACCTCCCACCTGATGGCTCAAACCAACAGTGAATGGGAGTCTTTGACCCAAACAGCTGTGGAAGGGTTTTGAACATTTTGACTCTGCTGGCTTCAGTATAGTTATTTCTAGGCAACTGTCAGTAAAAGGGAAATCAGATAACAGCTTTCAAGTCACTAGGCTCTAAACTTTAACAGAGAGCTTGTCATTAAAAATTGATTGATTGCCAGTAGTGACATGCTTTCTGGGATCTGGAGTTGTACAGGTTTCCTGAATGTTTAGCAAAGAAACCTGGTAATGTTATGGCATCCGTTGACAAATTATTATTTTAAATAGGTTACTGTGTCCAGAACTCCATGTTGAATTTTAAACTTTTAAACTAAAAGGTTAAAGTATCAAAGGTCAAAAGATCAAAAGGGACAAAGTGTCAAAGTATCAAAGAGAAACTTTTACTGTACATCAAATCCATGACTTCTGCTTTTCCATTGCAATGCAGTTTTCTTTAAATGATTTTGTACTCCACCAGGTCTAAGCCAGATTTTACCTACAAGTGTTACATGGCATAAGAACAGTCATGCATACTCATATGAATCTTGTCCTCAGACTAAAGCCACAATATAGATGGTACAATAGGGGCTGCAGTAAACCCCCCAAATGATCAGTGATCACTTTAAACAGATAATTTTGCACAAAAAAATGTTAATGCAATAAAATTTCATGGACATCTGACAACATGTGAAGAAGTTTTTATTCTACCTTGCTTTGTATTTACAGATGCAATTGGTGTTAAAAGCCATTGGAAATGCAGGACTGGCAGCAGCGTCACTAGCTCCTGTTTTGAGTTTGTGTGCTTCCCTGAAAAGTAATCCGATCGAAATCCGTCTAGCTGCTATCCAGGCCTTCAGGCGCATTCCCTGTTCTGTCAGGGTAAGTGATTTATTGCCAGCAGGTGACTGATGGCTTCCTGGCACTGTCCTAGAGTTTGGACTTTCTGCAATAGTTATACACGCAAGGAAATAAGGAACAAGTGGAAACGTGTCTTCCAGCAGAGCTCCTCTGCTAGTGGGGAGGTTGGTAGGACCACCCCGATGAACAGACCTGTAATGTGCTTTGCTGTAGTTGAGTTAACACATCCAGTGACTGAGGTAATGTTTGTGACAACTTAAAAAGGTACTTCAGTTGGCTGGTTTATGTCTGTGTGGGTTATGGCTGAAAACCCGCAGTACTTGATTTTTCCTATAGTCTGTTCCTCTGTGTCATTCTATGAAATGCAAAGTATTAATCTGAGAAGCTTGTTGTGATTGGCAATAGACTGTCAGAGAACGTTTGAAGTCTATATGTTGTCTAGAAAATTGTCTAGAAAATGAACTGCTGAACAGACACCCTTGGGTGGGCTGGGCGTATTAAATGCTACAGAAATCTTACTGGTATCAGTCACCAATGTCTTAATTCCTCACAGTTCACCAATCAACTCATATTTGTTGATACCAGGGAAGTATTGAACAGAATAAATTTGTTACAGGCCTACCCTTTGGTTGAGACCAGAAGTAATGTTCAGTTTGTCCTGGAAAGCTGTGGATAAAGTAGTATAGAGAATTTATACATACGTTTGTATACGTGTTGTGTGAAGTGACTTTGTCAGGTATAAAGCAGTAGCTGTCCCTTTCAGGAAGGAAAACCCACCTGCAGCTGAAGGTGCATTTCTGAGGTGTTTTAGGGGAGTAACTCATCATTATCTTTTTCTTTTTTTGGTTATCTTTTTATCTTGTTCTCTTAGAATGCTATATTAGTTCAGCTGTATGAAGCAACCAGTGAAGATGTGGAAATAAGGATTGCTGCTTATTATATAGCAATGAAATGTCCACATGAAGAGTTATTTAAACAAGTACAAAAGACTTTGCTGAAAGAAACATCCAGTCAAGGTTAGCCAAGCCACTACTGAAGTCTTACACATTCCAAAATGATGCTGCAATGTAACATTTTCTTTTCAGGTGTAATAGTATCAATCTATATCCATTTTTATTTAATCTTAATAAAATATATATTGTTTTTAAAGATTGTATAACTGCCACATTTTGTATTGGCATTGTGATACTGTTACTTTAGTAATAGTAACTAAGGCCTGACTTCACAAAATTAGTTTCCTCTACTGGCAACATTCCATTAGCTGATTGTTAATGAAAAGCTAAGTAAGAAAGAGAAATATGGAACCATTTTGATGTTTAGTCCATTAGAAATACAAATGGATAACTGCTAATTATGTTTTGTTGAGTTGAGAAAGAAGCGAGTGGCAGAAAAAAATACCACAAGCTGCAGGTGTAAACTGCTTCTTAATTGCTTTTTTAATGCTCCCGAATTCCACATTTACTGTTCATTTACTTGATGCAATACAAATATGTTATAAGGATTTGTTACCATGTTCTTTCTTTAGTACTGTCCTCTTTTACAGTTATTTTACATCGGTTTTGATATGATTTTAATATTCATCACAGTATTTTAAAGACAGTGTTAGATAGAAACTAAGCAGATCTGAAGAGTGCAAAGAAAGGGCTGTTGATTTTTGTTTAGATTATTTAAGATACCTAGGAACTAACTATAAGGCTTCCTGCAGTTAGCATCAAGGCTAGGGAAAAAGCAAAATGTGGGAACTGGGACATGTTGTGTTAGGAATGTTGTGAAAAGGACTCTGTGAAGGGTGTTAATCATATATCCAAATGTGTATAGCTGACTAACAGTGAAGCAGTCATTTGGGGAAAAGGTTAGCATAAGTATAATGTCTTAATTATTGATAGTTTGTTCTGATTTATGCTTCCTGCTTCTGTGGTTCCATGGTCAATTGTCTGATCTCTGCCAGATTACTGACACGAGAGACTGAATTGAGAATTGATGCTGAGTAGAAAATCTTCTATACTGTTTTTGAAAATAATCATTTTACTTAAGTAGCCTATCTGAAGGGAAGCTGTTTGGGCTAGTATGAAGTGAAACTGTAGGTTCTAGAAAAGTACAGAATCCTATCAGCTTTTTATTAGCAAAGCACATGGATCTTTAAGCTGATCCCATATTTTGGGTGAGGGAGGGATTTTTTTTCTAAATGATTTCACTACATTCAACAAAGAATACCTCTAGACTAATCCTTTGCTTTTAAATCTGTCAAGAAGGAGCAAAAATGAAAGGGGTATCTGTAAGATTGTTTGCAGGCAGATGAAAGCAGGCTCTGTCTGCACTCTGATGTGTCTGGATCCTAGCCAGCTCTGAACTTGAAGCTGTGTATCCATTTTATCAGGACGTTATGTCCAGACCAGTATATCCTGCAGGGATGATGAGTTCAAGCTCAGCATTGTGTTCACCTGATGATGTGGCTTATGGTGGGGAAGGGACTTGTTCCCCTCTGTTCAGAGTTCACAGAGAAATTACATCAGCCTGCAAAATACTGTCGAGGTGTACCCTCAGTGAATCTCCTCCCTGTGGCTCCACGCAGAAAAAATAATTTGATTTATAAAGGAGCTCTATAATTCCATCCAAAATGTTGTAGGTTTCAAACAATTAATATGATTGTACAAATACATTAATAAACAATTTAATGCAGTACTCTCATGAATTTTGGTAATTTCCTTCCTTTGTCTTTGGTTGATGTAACACCTAAATAATTGATAATTGCTTTTCTGGGGGGGTAGGGGTGGAGGTGCTTTTGGAAATGTACATTGCACAGTATAGAAAGATACTCTATATTGGGATGATTTGTTTGCTGCATGTAGAGAAACTTTATTTGCTCTTACAAGTCTATCAGTGTTGTTGCCTATGTTCATTCAGGGTATCTGATTAGTGGACCTCCTTATATTTAGAGTTGCTTAATGCTTGCCTTTAAAAGACTTTGTTTATTCCTCTTTAAAAACTTTTTTACTGCTATTTTAAGATTTTTATCTGCTTGCTGTCTATTCCAGACTTTTTTATGTTTCAATACACTGGGGCAGCGATATTTCAAGAACAAAATGAGTGATGCTGCCAAAGTTAAGGTTTAAAACCTTCTTTTAAATAATTGTTGCATCTATTCTTTGAAGAAGAAACAGAAACAGTCCAGTATTATTTGAGCTGCACAGCCTGCCTCTAACGTCTGTGTTAGAGTTGTATCTTTTTTTTTGCAGCATTCCTTTGAATTTAGTATAGAAGATAGATCCTTTATATAGATCCTTTACAAACAGTAAATAAGAAGTTTAACCTTACCTCCTTGCCTGCCTAGGTCAGCTGAGAGGCATAAATGAAACTAGGGAGTGAATGGCCCCTCACATGCTACATTCAAAAGAATAAGGCAGTATTTAAGTAAGTTGACCATGGTAAAGATAGGTGTATCAGACTGAGTTTAATAGTGCTGAAAATGAATTAATTCTGTTGTGGTCAGGGGAATGGTTTAGGATTAATTCCGGTATACATAAATAAAAATGTTCCCTGTATCAGTTTTTCAAACTGTTTTAATTTTTCTCTAATTTCCAAATACTATCATTTAATTTAAGTGGGCTCCTTTGTTTGGAGTCATCTCTCTCAGCTCCTGGAGACGGATGATCCATTGAAGGAGCACCTTCGAAATTCTATTCCTGATGAAATCCTTAGCAGAGATTTTGACCAGGAGACATGGAAATACTCCTCATATTCTGATGTCACATTCCACTCAGGTATGTGAAGTTTTAGAACTTAATGCTTTGTAGCATATGGGTTATTAAAATCCCACGTGGTTTTTCTGGTCCTTTACATCTTGCTTCAGAGAATTTTACTTTTTATGACTTAATAGCACCCAGATATGTGTATGTAGGCTTGATTCTGCTCTGGTCTTAATTGGAGTATATCAGATGTAATTCCAGCAAGCCAGATACCATGCAACTTTGCCTTTTGTGATTGAGGACAGTAAGAACCAATGAACTTTTTAGATTATTTTTGTGAACATCAAGTTTTGATTCCTTCCTTAGGGATCTTTCTTTGCAGCAACAGGGGATTGGGATGTATTTTTTTTATTCTGATTCATGTGCTTTCATTGGTATAAGAAGAGATTCTGACTGATTCCTTCCTGTTTTACTATCTGTTCATCACTTGTTTTTAACAAAAATGCTAGATAATATTTTTCCGAGTAACATTGTGATTTTCTGTCCATCTCTTCCAACATCTTCATGCATCTCTTGTGTATGATATGTATTCTAAACGCTCTTTTAGCGTTAGTCAGATAATAGGCTTTCAGTAATGTCCATTAAAGTCTTTGCTAGAGTAAAAAGTTACATAATTTCACCTGTTGGCTTAATGTTTTATTCACCATATTAATGATCAGAATTGCAATTTTGCAAAGAATTATGAGACTTGCAAAATACGTGAGAATAGCTGATCTCCAAATGACAGACATATGGTATTTTCTATTGCAGCTGGTGCAGGTGCAAATATGGAAGCATCAGTGGTCTTTTCTCCTGCATCTTTTCTACCACGATCAGTCATGACAAATTTGACCATTCACCTTATGGGGCAGGCTATAAATATACTGGAGGTAAGTTTATGGATTTTTATTTTCTTATACCCCTCCGCAAGAGACACTTGGTATATTGATTTAAAAAAAAAAAAAATATCATTTTTATTTTCCCATTACATTTCCTTTAGCAAGGTGTGCTTTTCACTGCTACAGCAAAGTTGCCTCAGACTGATGACTCCTGTGTGTAATGGAATTATAACAAAACCACTTTCACTTTGATAGTATCATATGCTAGCCAAGTGAGTTATATTCAGCCTTGTTGTTGAATCAAATGGAAGACAGAAGTCAGTGCTTTCTGAGACACTGGTCTAGCTCCTGTTTAGGATAGTAAGATGCCTTCGGCTCACTTACAGTGAAAAATGAGTTGGCTTGGGTACACCATTCCTTTAATACAGGAGATAGAGTCATATATCCCTAACTGAAGTCACTGTTTTAGTCCCACTGAGCATCCAATGCTTGGGATATTTAAATGGCCTGCCTGCAACCTTTTCATCTTTTACTGTGCCTCTACTGTGCCTCCAAGAGAAATCAATTTTTGGCATATGGATTCTTTATTGCAGGTAAAACTATGTCTGTGACAGAATTTAATGTAGCCTTCAGATCTCAAGTTTAAGCTTGCAAGGGAACAAATATTTTTTTTTTTTTTTAGTATCATATACCCTGGATTTATATGTGTTAGTAATACTATTTTAATCAGACTTCCAAACAGAATCTTATTTCAGGAGTATTAAAAGGGTGAGTTGCTGTTTTCTAGCCAAAATACTGTTTGTAGCATTCTAAAATAACAGTAGCTCAAACTGTCCCATCATGGTGTAAATGAACCAATACCTGAATAAAAAAGGATTTTTATTTTTTATTGAGCTTCACATAGTCAACAAACTAAAGAATTTTTACTGGGAAGATTTAATATTGAAATATCCAATATTGGATGCTGCCTGATGTAGGATACTAAACTCTGTAGACTACTGTGATCTCATATGGCAAATCTTTCTTTGTACAAATCCTAAAGGTTAAATCTGGATGTATGTTTTTAATGTCTGCCTATAGAACTGGATGTGGCTTATGCATCTCATTGTCAGGCTTTTCAGTGTGTATGCTCTCCCCTAGATTGGTGTACGATTAGAGAATGCTGAAGCTCTCGTGCAGAAGATTTTTGGGCAGAAGTCTGCTACTTTCAGTGACTATTTTTTTGCAAACACTAACGAAAGAAACCACAAGTCAGAAAACCCAGTGGAAACAACAGAAAAAATCAAGCAGAGGAAGCTGACTTCAAAGCGATACAACCCCGCTGATCATCTTGTGACCAAGTCTGGCAAGCCAAAGTTGAGAAAAGCTAACCAGAATTGTCCTGGTAGAAAGTACACCAAGATGAGTGAGTTAGTCAAAAAGGTAACTGGCTGTAGATCTTGGAAAAATTAAGGACTTTCCCCAGTTAAATTTAGGGCCCCATCTAGCACTGGACAACTGCTCTGTATTACTGTGACTCCTCTGCATAAGGTGTATATAACTTGTTCCACTTACTTGCAGAGAACTTAATAGCGACATAAAATACAAAGCAACAAAAGAGCCAGATCTCCAGTTTTTCAGATTCTTTTATTGTTTTAAGACAATGACTCTCAGCCGGGGGATTATCTTGCCTATGTTTTGGGCTTCCTCTCATTATTTTGAGCTCTGATCCTCTTTATACTGATGTCTTTTTTTCTGTTGACTTCTGCTGCACTGTAAACAGCTGCTTGATGTTAAATTCCTGAGTCACACTGTTTGTGATCTGACTTCCCAGTTTGATGTCAGACGTTACACTGAGTCTTTGTGAAATTACCCATGTTTGGAGAGAGCTATGTTCCATGTATATAACAGGAAAGCTTTGGGAATTGGCTTCAATTGTTGATGTATTATCTGGAAAACTTGGGGACTATGATTTATTTAGTGTCTTAGACCATCTCTCTTCCTGGGACTCAGAATTTCTTCTTACAGTGTAAGCTCAAGTGCATGTTGTGTTGCTGAAGTTTAGCTGAAAAGAACAGGTACTAATCCAGGGTCTGAAGTGGTCTTGAAATATTTATAAAATGGAGCCTAATGTCTGTTTACTAATATCACAGCCTGCACTGAGGAATTGTTTATTATGAGTTTGAAAGGGAATTAATATAAATATAATTCTCTTCCTGATTTGTTTGTTTATCACATCTCAGTTCACTGAGACAACGGTGAGAAAGGAGGCGCTGAAGTGTGAGCTGAGCATGAAAATCTTTGGAAATGAACTTAGTTTCTTGGATTGTGAAGATTTAAGAAAACAAATGAAACATTATTCTTTAAATCTGGCTGAACTGGCTGTCAAACTTCTGAAGGTAAAAGGAACCTTTTTTTCTGTTTGAAAGTAAATGCCTTGGGAAACTACTTTCTGACAGATATGTAAAAGATAAAAAATACTACATTTTGTTTCTCTAAACTGAACTCTAAAAGACACCAGTATATGTTGGGTTTAAACAGCATTCAGTACATTAGGCAAGGACTTGTTCTGTTGTTGATGATTCTTATCACTTGCTTTTCTTATACAAATCCATCCATGCTTAAATGAGAAATAATTCTTACTTTGACTGGGGTGGGACTAGTGCCTAACTCATGCCCTGGCCAGATGCAGACTTTGGGCTGCTTTCTACCTTATTTCCCAAATCAGCTCAGTTGGAAACACTTTCACAGCAGACAAATGCAGTGGATAGCTATATCTGAGAAAAAAATCTTCAATGCTGACTTCATTATGCAAAATAAAATTCTGGTTTTTCTTTGTTTGGTTTTTTCCACCATAGGGGCAAGAGGTCCAGTTTAATAAAAGACTGAGTTTGGCCACCGAAGAATTGCAATTTCCAGCAATTTCAGGCTTTCCTGTTCAGCTGGCAGTCAATGCCTCAGCAGCCATTAACATAAAAATCAAAGGGAATGCGGATTTCAAACAGCAGTCAAATTTCTTTCTAAATAGTTATATCAAGCCAAGGTAATAAGCCCTGCAAATATGTCACTTTCACATATTCCTGATGTGCAAGATTTGTGTGCAAATGTCTGTTGTAATCAGTTAGGAGATTCCTGAAGAGCTCCAGCAGTCATCAGCCTCACATTGCTGAATGGTTGCTGTGCTGTGAGGACAGCAGTGGTTTCCTATCCCGCCTGTTTGATTTTGAACTCTATTGCTGTGCTTTTCCCATACTGTTTTAAGCTGACTGTTTCTCCCTATCTCTAAATCAAATTCCTAAATGCTTGCTTGCATTTTTGAATTCTTTACCTGTTACAGGGATGGCATTTGGGATTTTTCTCAGGATCAGACATGTAGTTACAGGTTATGAATCTACAAACCAATGGATGATTTAACCCTGTGTTTCCTTACCTGGCTATTGTAGCTTTTTATACTTACTGAATACATTTACTAAAATTCATTAAGTGCTGTATAGACAGATAAATTTACATGGTGCTACTCAGTCCTAATTGCTTTCTCTTTCCTGATACTTCATTGCTAAAGTTGGGGTTCAAATCCCTTACTGAGGATAGATAGAAAACTTCAAATTAAGTGCTTTAAAAAGAAAGTGCTTTTTATAGAAGAATATGTATCTGAATCTTTCAACAGTGCGTTTGTCCAGCTTTCTGCCCGAATGGGAACTGTGGGGACTCTGGGACAAGCTGGCCTAAGCTGGTTAACAGGAATGAGGACATCTACTAGTCTTGATGGGGGAATCCAGGTGAAAAAAGGGAAAGAGCTCAAAGTTTTTTTGAACACTCCAGAAGAATCTATGGAGATAATTAATTTCAGGTAATCTTTCTAAAATAGTAACTGTGACAACTTTCTTGAATCAGAACTTAACTGGCAGGCTCATTAATAGACCAGAAATGTATTTTGTCAGAAAACAAGTCTGACATACTCCGAATCTGCTATTCAGAAGAAAAGGAAGGCAAAATTATTCTGTGCTTCTTACATGTTTTACTGTAAAAACATATAGTGAAATCAAAGCCTTATGCTAAAAATGTAAGTGAACTTTTCATACTCTCCAGTTTTTTCCCATTGAATGTCAGTGCTGTTTCTGGAACTTTAGTGCCCAAAGAATCTAGTTCAGAGTATTGAAGTGGTGGAGGAAGAACTTAGCATTACTTCTACAGATGGCATTTAGCAAAATCAGGTACAGAACAGTATTTAGCAAAACATTTGGGTAATTTGAAATATAATACTAACAATGTGTGCTCATACCCTTCTTGTGAGTTTTTAGTCAGGTTGTTTAATGTTAGATAAAGGTTACATTGTAAAATACCATCTCAACAACTGTCAGATGTTAAGCAAATTAATTAATTGTGTTAATGCAAGCTAGGCTTTTTAGCTCTTTTTTTTTTTTTTTTTCTGCTGACTTTCTCTTTCCGTTGGACTTTTACATTTGATAGAAATCCAAGTAGAAGGCACATATTGTAAATGACATGTCAGCTACATGTCTCTTAGACATGACAACAGATGAACTAAGTGTCTACAGTATGTGGATTGTCATTCCTTTGTATTTCTCTTTATTTGGGACATTGTGGTTCTATAGGATGTGCAGTTCAGAAAAGAGCTAAAAGGCTCTGGACTTTGCATTTAAACCATCCATTCCCTTAGGACTCTGGGAAACTTACTGATGTAATTTTATTTCTGTCAGTTAGGATGGATGACAGACCAGAGTGGAAGTCAAAATAATTACACACCTGTATTGTACATTATTTGAATGAAAGACTGACTATAGAGTCTATTAGATATTACATTAACTCGCTTGCTCCCATCAAGTGCAGAGACTTGTACAAGCAGTTTAGTGAAGTTCTTGAAGAACTTCAAGACTGGAACGAAACTGATGTCACTACATACCCTAAGGGAAAAAAAATAAATGTCTAGAATCCAGGGAGCGGAGTTGCAATACACTGACCATACCAAATTGCTCAGAACAGAGACATTTAATACTCACTGTGAAGAACTTCAGAAGAATGTCAAGACAGTGGCAGAATAAACACGGAAGCTGTGGATAAAAATCAGTGCTAATTAGAAGAAATGTAGACTGATCTCAGCAGAACTTCATCTTGTTTTTCCCATCTGGGAGAAGATGGCATATAACTGTTTAAATATTGCTGTGACTTTAGCATAATTGTTTTTAAGTGACTGAAATTCTTGTTTGTAGTTCTAAACTCTACTTCATAATGGCGGATGAGACAGAAGATACAGATGTTTTCCAAGACCACACAGAAACCAGATCTTGCACTAGGGAGGAAGGTGAGTCTAGCTATATTATGTTTTAGAAAGCTTGATCATTCTGAAATACCCATGACAGATCATTTTATTCAGTAGAATTTATTTTTTATGTATTAGTTCTAAAAGGTTTGCAGTGCAATGTTCATTTACATGTTTTCTTTGTCTGTTCTGACTGAATGTTCAACTGTTGTCTTCCACCAGTGTCTGAGATTATTGGCTGGCAGCTGTGTTCTGAAATGTCATACCCTGACCCAGCTAGCGGTTTGTTTTTCCCCCTTACTGGACCTTTGAGAGTGATTGTCACATTAACTAAGCAAGACAGAGGTCTGCAGCAGTATCTTGTGGAAGCTGCATATAACTATATTCCTCAGGTACTGTTATGGCATGCTTTACTTTGGCTTTAGTTTTAGATTATTATGCTAATGAAAGTATGGTATATCTCAGTACTGTATATTCAACTTAACTGGCTTTCAAGGTCTACATTATTATTATTTCCATTCCCATTATACTGGGAAAATATGTTGAAAGCAAATCACTGATGCTGATAGTGGGTATACACCATTTCCATATACTGAACAGGGCATAGAAATACTAAGTTATTTGGTTGGATAAGACTGAGAGAGCTGGAAGTAGAGACCAGGATTTTTGACTTGGTACCTGGGACTAGACAACCTGACCTCACTTGGATGACTTGTTTTTCTCAAAACCCAAATCATTAATTTGCACACCTTGTTTGAAAGCAGAAGTTAGGCTCCAGTGAATCCACTCCAGAAGTCAGTCAGTTGTTTTAATATGTTTGTTTGGGCAAGATGTAGGAAGGAATGGTTTTCAGCTTCTGCAGGGGACAGGAAGAATTTATGGCTTTTTCTAAAATTATAGGTGTTTAACACAGGCAGCAGCTGGAGTCTTATCTTCTATCACAGCCGAAGTATGCTGCTGGGCTTGAGCAACTTCTTTTTACTGGGAGACAGTTTGGGCTTTGGCTGCATTCAAACACTGCTCAGTATCTCTAAGACAGTGAGATAAGCGCAATAAGCAGAGTAACTTCCCCTTCATGATTTTGTTTTTCTGACTTTCTTTAATAAAAGCAGGAAAGGCAACAGGCATTTTTCTCTGTCAGAGAATCTGATGTCTGTTGGCCGGCCAAAACTGTCAACTAAGGCACCCACTACTGGATTATGGTGCTGTGTACTGCATCCCACTGCCGACACCGGAGTGTAAGGGCTTAAGGCAGCCCTGCCAAATTCAAGTTACCTAGGCCTGAGCTGTAGAGCTTACATTTATAACTGGAAGTGTGGTCTGATTTTGCATAAAGGTTGACAGGATTCAGCATAATTTCAAGACACCAGGTGCACATCAAAGCCACTTTATCACTCCCCCTCCTTGGCTGGACAGGGGAGAGAAAACATAGCAAAAAATTCGTGGGTTGAGATAAAGGTAGGGAGAGATCATTCAGCAATTACTGTCACAGGCAAAACAGACTCAACTTGGGGAAATTAATTTAATTTATTACCAATCAAATCAGAGTATGATAATGAGAAAGAAAACAAATCTTAAAACACCTTCCCCCCACTCCTCCCCTCTTCCCGGGCTCAGCTTTGCTCCCAGTTTCTCTACCTCCTCCCCTCAAGCAGCACAGGGATATGGGAAGTGGGCGCTGTGGTCAGTTCATCACCTGCTGTTTCTGACACTCCTTCCTCCTCAGGGGGAGGACTCCTCACACTTTCCACCTGCTCCAGCATGGGTTCCCCATGGGAGACAGTTCTCCACAAACTTCTCCAGCGTGAGTCCTTCCCGGAGGCTGCAGCTCTTCCTGAACTGCTCCAGCGCCCCCTGGGGTCACAAGTCCTGCCAGCAAACCTGCTCCAGCATGGGGACCTTCCCACGGGGTCACAGCCTCCTTTGGGCACTCACCTGGGGTCTGCAGGTGGGATCTGCCCCACCGTTCCCCTCCATGGGTGCAGGGGACACCCTGCCTCACCAGGGGCTGCACCAGGGGCTGCGGGGGAATCCCTGCTCCAGCACCTGGAGCACCTCCTCCCCCTCCTTCCTCACCGACCTGGCTGTCTGCAGAGTTGTTTCTCACATATTTTCACTCCTCTCTTCAGATACTGTTGCCCATGAACAGTTTTTTTCCTCTTTCTTAAATATGTTATCCCAGAGGTGCTGCCACTGTCACTGATGGGCTGGGCCTTGGCCAGTGGTGGGTCCATCTTGGAGCTGCTGGCTTTGGCTCTGTTGGACATGGGGGAAGCTTCTAGCAGCTTCTCACAGAAGTTCCCCCCTGTAGCCCCCCGCTACCAAAGTCTTGCCCCACAAACCCAGTGCTCAAGGTCAGTATAGTGTGAAATTCAAGGTGTTCAGACAGTGTTTCCCAAGACAGGCACTGCCCAGGGAATGGAAAACAGAGCCTGGGAAAAGTAGAAATTTCTTGCTGAAAATCTTGAAAAGCAGATAGGTGAAAAATTATTGTGGCAGTGAAGATGACTATGATCATGTGATGTAACTCAGTGTGATAGATTGTTTTGTAAATGCTGTGCCAATTGCAAATATGGATATCCTTTCTTTCTTTCAGGACAATTCCTGGATCCCAAGTGAAGCTGTCCTTCACTTCTTCATTGGGACTCCAAAGTCAGACTTGAAAAGGGATGTTGGTGTTGACCTAAATTTTAGTGTAAGACAGAAGAAGTTCAGAATTCAATTTATACAACCTAAAAAAAAAATCGAGATCGATGGTAGGTTTTTTGACTATGAACCAGATCATCAGTTAGTGTCAGTTAGGAGAACTTCATCAGCATTGAGAAATATCAATATATTTCAGTGAATAATCTAATGCTAAAACTATGTTATTGTGTGGTAGCCATTCAGTTTACTGCTTTAGGTAAAACCCATTCCTAGTGGGTTTTGCATCTTGATTAAGACTATTTTGCAGTCAGAGGTTCAGTACCTGATTCACAAACTCATGTTACAGAGGAAGGCTGTTACCAGTATAGATGAAGTTAAGGCTAAGGACCACAGTGGATTGTTCTGTAATCTTTTAGATAGGGTGAACTATTCCTGAATTTTCATTTACTGTGTTCTGTTAGTTCTGATACAAAATTACTTGTTGCCAACTCAATTAAGTATGATATTACTGTGCATTATAATAAATAGTAATATTTCGATCACAGTGTAACATAGAAAATCAACAAACAGATTGATGAAATATAAACTGATAAAAATATAGCAATAATATAAACATATTCCAGCTTCTTTGTCATGCTGGTGAAGTGATGTTTGGTTTTATTTTGATGTATTCTACCATATCGCATTTTTAGAATTTGTCCCTCCAGATTTTAAATTTTTTTTTAATCCTAGTTATTTTCAAATGGATTGCATGGAAGATTTACCTACATGTACAAAGTTTTGCATGCACAGAAATGTCTCCACAGCACAACACAGCTTACAAGTTTTATCAGAGGCCTGAAGGAAGTGTCCTTAGTTTCCAGAACTAAGCTGGTTTGTTGGAGACAGCTTCGTTATCTCTTCTCATTTAGTGTTCTCAGAATGTCCTTTCAAAATGAGATGTGTATTCTGGGGACCCTTTGCAAACTCTGTTCCTAACTTTTCCTAACTGTTCCTTTACTCTGATATTTATTATGTTTTTACTTTCTAAACATAGTTTTCACAACAATTGCAACTATCATTTTGGGTACAGTTTTATGAAGCATCACGGAACAGTATATGTCCAGAAGAAGTAAACAGTTTTTTTTTTCTTCCAAGGGAGAATTGAGTTTTCTAAAAATTCACGAATTGGCCACCTGGAGCTGATAGTAGATGACCAAGATGTATATTACATTAAGGTATGTTTTCGGGTCATGAGTTCTCATACTAGCACGAATACTTAAATAAAAGCACAGAAGAGAAAGGCAATGAAAAACACACATATTGAAAAACAGTTTTGTGAGCAATCCATCAGAGAAATTGCCAGTTATCTTTATTACCTATTTTTGAGGTAGACTCAGTGCTAGATTGCTGTGTTTTAAAAGCTTTTAAGGCATGGCTTCTGCAAGTAATCTAAAGCAATTGTTTCCCATTCAGATGTACTCAAAACCTTTGGGTTGCTTCCAGTGTTAATTCTGTTAAGTAAGTGTTAAGTAAGTAAGTTAAGTTAAGTAAGTTAAGTAAGTTAAGTAAGTTAAGTTAAGTAAGTTAAGTAAAAAAGATCACACTGACTCCTGTGGACTTTGGCTCATGATGTGCATGTGTAGTCACACAGTTTTTCAGACCTGTATTCTGACCATGCATAAAGACCCTTGAATAAGCTCAGGCTAATTTCTTCACTTCCGTGGACTCTCTAGATGTAAGAATGTCTAAGATACTGTTCTTCACATCACAGAAATTGTGGATTTCTTAGAGCACTGGGGAATAAGCAGGAGAATGCCAGTGTTTGAACTCTGAAATGAAAAAGCAAACAAAGATGGAGGTGGGAGTTTATCACTGAAACTCTACTGACATTTTTGTTTTTATTCCAGGACTTGAACAATTTTTTCATTATGCAATTGATACCCAGAGTAGGATGCCATGTCTTATGTGGGCCTCCAAAGCCAGTTGGTTTCTAATACTGTGTTTTCCTGCAGTGAGCACATTATTTAACAGATTACTTTTTTTCTACAGTAATATCTCAATAGACTTTTTGGATGTTTCTCATGAACCTAAACACTATTTAGTGTTGCAGATTGTTTCTTTTGCATCTAGTCCAATCTAAATCTAGTTACCGCTGTGAGACTGCCAATATTTTCAGCAACACCATATTATTCTTTGGCTCAGTACTGTAATATTATTAAAGATTTCAGTTACTACTGAAGCCAGCAGGAGGTGAAGGAAATAGCATCTCATGCCACTGTGATTTTTGTACAAGTGGAAAAACAAATCCATCCTTCCTCCCACTTATTTACTAACGGTGAGTTTTATGGTTTGGGGAGGTGGAAGAGGCGTTGTTGGGTGTACAGAAAAAAAGTCTCTTTTCTTTCTCCTCTCATTTAATTTCTGAAATGGCCAAGACTATACTATTGCTTTCTCAAAACTTAGGAAGTTTGTACTGTTGAGCAGTTTGGGTTTGATTTTGGGGTTTTAATTTCTTTGTTCTAGGGAATGACAGATTTGCAGACATTGAGTGGAGAGCAGAGATACATGACCCAACTGGAGGTGAAGCTGGTAAAGCAAAGCAGTCCTATCATTCTGTCAGGAAACATCACTAAACAACTTGGCAAGAAGATAGCTTTTTCAGTATCGCTGAATAATTTGTTGAAGGATGCTGCATTTCTTTCAGGTTAGAGGACAATAAGTATTCACCATATAAATGGAAGTTCTTGAGCCCTTATACATTAAGGTTGCCTGGTTTTGGAGACATATTTCCAAAGTTTCTTTCAAATCAGTAAGACTGCTTTATGAAATTATTATCCTTGATAAATTAGTAATAATGTATTTTGGAATAATAAGAATTATAAATATTTTTTTTTTAAGTCTGCTTTTAATTACTGTTGAAGAGTGTGGAGGAAATAAGATGTAAGGAGTCACTTAGAAAAAAAATCGCCAAAACAGTAACAGCTCTTAGAATATTCTGTTTCACTTTTCTTGGTACAAAACAATGCAGAGACACATATGTGTAGCTAAATGTCTCTTAAGACCTCTTGTTCTAAAAATGATTTGTTTTCTTATTCATATAGCATCAATTCATTAAAAGGTTGATTAATACAGTGGAATAAACCAGTAATTTAAGTCTAGGGCTCTCCTTTTTTCCTTAATATTTCTTACTGTACTCCCCATGTGGCAAAGACATTGAAATGTCATAGGATTGCACAGTATTTTCAAAGCAAACTGCCTTTAAAGGAATGGAGAATGCCAGTTTAGTTTGTGGGAGATCATCTTTTGGTGAAATCTTCATTCTTAGCTTTTGCATGGATTGCATCTAAAAACGATTGTGGTCCAATTTCAAACTGTTATGCCCTGAGAACTAGGCTGCACCAATTCTCTTGCAAAGCCACAACCTTGCTGTGACAATGTAGAAGTAAATTTACACATGTTCACAAGTTAGGTCTTAGTTAATTAAGAGATCAGTCTGTTGGAATTTATTTCCTTTTAGAAGCAGCTTAGACTGGATTAATTTCCCTAAACTTTAAGCAGTATCTGAGAAATGAGAACTACAGGCTGTAGATGGAGTTGGAGAAAGACGACTGAAGGTCCAGCTCTGTCTTTTTGTTTACTACACAAGATTGTTCCTCATGAGGTTCCTCAGTTACATGGGATGAGATTGAACAGATTTGTGTTTTCCCCACTGTAGTATTCCTTTTACAAGCTGAAGTAACTTCATGTTCTACCACTTCATAATCACTTCTACTCTTTTTGTAGCATTTCTGGAGAAGAAGGTTGATGATAAGCTGAGACAATATTCATTGGAAGGGGAGACTTACCTTCCAGGTGTTCTTGGAGTTCACATCATTGGTCTTCTCCAGCAACGTGAGGGATTGTGGTCTCATGGTTTGAGGATAAAATACGGACTCCTAGGTACAGTGAACAACAGTGAAAGTAAAAGCATTCTGTTTGTCTCATTTTTCTGCAAGTTATTTGCCTGTATGTTTAGGACACTCTTAACAAGAAGGATTTCAGCTGATTTTTAAAACTATGATCTGAAACCTAGGACAAGTTTCTCTTTTCACTTGGATAAACTTTACTCTTTGAGTCTGCATGTGCTTTCTACAAGCATGTCCAACATTTGATTAAAAAAATCACTTTTTCAGTGGGAATGCTTCAAGTTAATTTGTGTTCTCAGTTATTTATACAAAATGAATGGTTGCACACTTAAAAATATGAGGAACTGTTTCTAGGAAACAGTTGGCTGTGTTCTGGCTGCAGTGTGTGAACTGTGTGTTAATTTACTGGACAAAGCAGGTGAACATTGGTACAACTATATCAAGGTATTGAGTAACTAGTAACTATTGAGTAGCTAGTCATGATAAGCATTATAGGGTGATTGTTTATATAAAGTATGTTGCACATTCAGAAAGAGTATGTAGGAATATGAGTAGAAAAGTTTTCTTAAGCCAACGCAGGTACGACCCCATAATTTTGCTAAAAATGACATGCTGATCAGAGTATTTTATATGCACAAACAGAAACATACCTGAACACTTATAACAGTATTAGATGATGTATAGCTATGTAATTATAAAGTTATATACTTACAGCTTAAGTCATGTTTTGATATAAACCCAATTTGGCAACTGTTCTACCTAAAGTGGTAGGGAAGTGATTCCTTGTAGAATACTGGATTTAAAAAAAAAAAAAAAAGGCAAAAAATTAATGTTTGAAACTTCAGATTCATTATTTTAAGCTTTATTTCAGTGACCAGAAGGGCTAGAAGTTCATTATTTTTTTCTGTTTAAGATGCAATGTCATGTAATATCATAATGTCAGGAGCTGAGTGGTAACAGAAAATCATAAAATATTGTGAGACCCCCCAAGAAGGCTGCAAAGATTGATCATGATTAGTTTGTAGTGCTTTTACTTCACACAAGTAAATTCCATATAAGCAATAAACTTAGTGCCTGCTTTTAAAAATTTATTTATTTATTTATTTATCTATCTATCATTTCTGAAGAAAAAGTGAGTGAAAGAACATGGAAATATGGTAAACATCCAAGAAGAGCCTTTGCTTTTCTTAAACAAAATTGGCCTAAGTCATGGGATCATTTTCATTCCATTCTTAGTACAAACCAGCTGTTTCCAATTGTCTGAACTTAGAAACATCTTAAATTTTAATAGAGTAAACAGAGGCCCAAACTCTTATATGTAAAGCCTGTAACATGGCTGTTCCTAGGTTTTTCATTTGTAGTACAGCTTGTGGAAAAAAATAAAAATTTGCAATGCCTAACACATTTTTTCGAAAGTTTTACTAATTATTTGCATGTACAGCATGTCTGGAGTCAGAAGTGCAGAGCTATTGATTGCTGTTAGGTTGGACATACGTATAGCAGGAAAATAAGTTTAGGTGTCAGAAACAGTGCTTTGGCAACAACGCTGTCGTCGGTAAAATGTGTCTAGATCTTGAACAGATAGTGAAGATAATTCTTGAGCTGAAGTTCATTTTAATGGAGTTGTGCCGGTATTGGTACCAATCTTCACAAACTTTGGTCATACTCTTAGACTGGAGAACATACTGCCAGGCCTTTTACAGGAATAAAATATCTCCTTGTCTTTTACTTTACTGTTGGAAAAAGTAAAAAGTGTTTTCAGTTTCATAGATGTAATTCACTTACCTAGCAAATATAAATGCACTGTTCTTAAATGCAAGTTCTTTAAATGTGTGCTTTTCTTTGGATTCAAATATACATCTGTAAAAATATACAAATCTCACTTTAATGTTTTTGAAAACTAGAAACCTTGAAGCCAGCACAAGATTTATACTATTAATACTTTGAAAGTTTACTTTTGATTTATTTGAGTAGGTAACTTTGTGATTTAACTTGAACAGGAGAGGCAAAAAATCTTCATCATGAATGCGGTATGCGACAAAAGATTAAAGTGGAGACAGGTGCACACGGCGTGTACAAACTTGATACTGGGCATGAATTTCACTGTGTGCAGACTCCGACCTATAATCACAAGGTAAAGATACTGACCAAAGCACGCACTTACTTGTGTGCTGAGTACCCTTGTGTAACTCAGGTACTGAGAGGCTTAAACCAAGCGATGCCCAAGATTGTCATTTTTGGATCAATCTTTTTCTTCTCATCTTGTTTCTCTTCACTTTCTGTGTAGACAATGATACCTAGTTAAGTTGCTAATTCGTGCAGTCCATTACAGCTATAAGTGATGGAACTCTCCAGTGTTGAATTTTTTCAGGTATTAAATCACACAACTTCTGCAGAATGTTTGTTGTTAAAAATTTTGTTAGAAATAAAACAATAGTATTAGTAAGTTTATGATTTATCTTGTTCTATCCTTGTAACTAAAAGTCAGGAACTCTGCTTATTCATCAGAAGTTGTGTCTGGAAAGTAAGGCATTTAAAAATATTTTATATTCTGGTTTAGATTTATATACTTTCTTAGAAATTTCAGTCTGTGTGACCCTTTCATGTAGGAAAGCAGATCTGTTTAAAATTTTGTCCTTTACAGATGGCACAAAGACAAAGGTCTTCTTAAAGGCAAATCACCTTTAATACTAGGTATTTGCTGCAGGACAGAAAGCTGTCTGAAAAAAATAAGCTTCTGAATTAAAGGGAATTTGTGTATCCTTTCAGATTTGCTTTTGGTCCAAATTGGACTGAAGCCAAGAAGTGTTAGTATTTCCCATGGAGCAAGATCTTTCCAGGCTTTGCAGCTGCACAGTGAATCCATGTGAAGCAGTCCACCAGGAGTACCTGAGTCCCATCACCTTAGCTTTTAAGAAAAGCAATTTGACTGGCAGTACATACACTAAAAGTTTTGGGTTTTGTACACTGAATTTGTATTTTTGATGGAATGTGATTTCTGTTTGGAAAATTAGCCAGCCCTTTCTGTTTTAGTCTTGCTTGCTACTTGGGAATATTTCTGCAGACTGTTAACAGCAGTGAATAGAAGGGAAGGCATGGTTTACAGGAAAAAGGTGAATTTCTGTTCTTCAGGTTCACCTGAAACATGAAGCGAGTGCATCTTGGCTTTCCTCGCAGATGGAAGTGAACTATGGGAAACACTGGGATGAAATAAACAACAAGAAGAAACTGTTGATCAGCCAGGCATTTAAGAACAGTTCCAGTTCATCTCTAGTCAACTATTTCATGGAGGTAGTCATGATTATTGAACAGTAAGACCTTCACTTCAAAATATTTAACAGGCAAACTAAGAAAAAGTTTGGGATTAATTTATTTATTAAGACTTTTTTTTTTTTTCTGTGTTATGTATTAAAAATATGTCAGATATTGAGACCTAATAAGTCTGAGTTAGGTACGGTCTTAACCCAGGCTCATAGAGATCACTGACATTAAAATGAACAAGGGATAGCCAGTAGATGGTTTTTTCAAATACTAAAAACATTTGGGTGTAATGTGGTATGAGTTTTTTGCAGTTTGCACATATAAAATGATCTCAGAGTTTTATGAAAATTGCTTTGCTCACACAATGTGGAAGGAGAGTGCAGATTGTAATAACTCAGAATATTACAGCATTTAGGTGGAAGTTGGTATGGAATACAGTAGCTCAGCTAAGAGCAGACGTTCATTTTTTTGTTTATTTCTTTGGTGTTTTCTGTTATAAATTGATTTCTACCCTGAATCAGCAGAAAGTTTTTCCATATGGTAAAGTATAATTAAAAGCCTCAGAGAGGGGCTGTGCCTTCTTTTGAAGCATCTTCAATGGGCTACAAAAAGAAATAAAATAATTATTTATATTGGCATACCCTGTTATCTTTTGTAGATAACAGTTCTTAGAGTTATCTGTAGATAAAAGTTCTTATCTGTAGATAAAAGTTCTTAGAGAAGCTACAGAAACTACAACTATAAATTTTTGTGCTATTTTTTAGAAGTTGCAGGTCTTCTCTGTTACTGTCTTAGACTAAGTAATAGTTTTCTGAGATGGGCTGTCATTATTCTATTTCCATAAGGAGCACCTGTAAGCATAGAATTTATCTGTGATCCCAGCATAGACTGACCTAGAATGATGGGTTTTTTTCCCTAGAAAGTAAAAGGTCTAAAAAATAGTGGAAGTTTTCCTTTTTGAATCCCCAGTAGATGTAACAAATGCGTATTATCTGTAATTGGTCAGCATGCATGAAAAGCTATAAAGTGAATGGCAAACGTGCCGAGCAGAGGCACTAGCTTTGACCTTCTTGCTGTTATGTGTGGATGTGTGTGTTGGCTTGGACAGCCTGGAAGATGTGATCCTGTTTTTATTTAAATTTGTTTCACTTGTTTTCCAGTTTACCGTGCAAGTCCTGGAAAAACAGGTGAATTATAGAACCCAGCTGCAGCACTCACACAACTCTCAAGCTTATTTGCAGAGCAACACCAAGTTCGAGGTGCAGTATAATGACCACGTGCCATTTGTGGCTGGGCTGCAGTGGAAAGACACATCCAGAAGTGGCCTGAAGAACTGGGAAGGTGAAGTTCCACAAAGTATTTCCAGTCTGGGATTAGAAAAGCAGGCACTGAAAGTTGCTGCTGAGATTTTGTGAGGTAGTTTTGCGGGGCTGTAACAGAATCATAGAAATATTGGTTGGAAGAGACGGACTCTGGAGATTATCTAGACCAGCTTCCTGCTCAAATTAGGACTGTTCTTAACAGTAGATCACATCTGCTGTGGTTCTGTCTAGTGGAGTTTTCAAAATCTCCAACTTTCCACAGCCTAGCTGGCTAGCCTCTTCCAGCAATTCCTTAGTCGCTCAAAGTGCAGTTTGTGGCCATTGTCCCTTGCCTGCCTCCCTGGACGGGTTTGTGTTCCTGCTGTAGGCAGCTATTAGACTCCTCTGTTCCTTTGCCAGACTAAATAAGCCCAGCTCCTGCTCTTCTTGTCACAGGTCCTTTTGTCTTTGCCCTTTATCATCATGGCAGCCCTCTGCTGTAGCCTTTCTGGTTTCTCACCATCTATCTGGATCAGGATGCTCCAAAACCAGATCCAGTGTGACAGATGTAAACTCTCCTGTACTGTGCAGAGGGGGATACCTCTGTCTGATAGCCATGCTCCTCATGTAGACCAGTAATGTCTTGTTAGCTTTTGACTGAGATAACTGGCCAAGAAGTGTAGCATGTTTTAAAAAAAAAAAAAATCTTTAGAAAGTTTGTTTTAAGAACATTAGAAAATGGGACACTGAGCAGAATTCTAATGGTGTATTTTAAGCTATAAATTAAACACCTGTGTATATATATGGATATTTTTTTAAAATCACATTTATCTTAGACCTTTTGCTTCATAAAGTACAGCAAGGAGTAGGCCTTTATAAGCTGTATTTTACATTTTTAGAATTCTTTCTCAAATAGGGGTTAAGTTACCAATGGTGTGCCAAAAATCAGTTTTCTGACATTTGGTTCTTAAGATGGATTGAATGCCACTTACATTTGTGCTTTAGGGAATGAAGCTGTATAAATCAGTGCAATGATTGGTTCAGTGTGTAGATTTGCTGTTGAGATACATATTTTTCAAGTCTAGTATGCACCATATGTGCAAAAACTTGGATCCTTATTAATGCAAAACAGCTGGCTTGATACAGTGGACTGAATTAATAGATGTTTTTCTGCTTATTAAGGTGCAACAAACTAAGGTTAGATTAATTGTGAAGTTTTAAAAATTTGGAGATGACTTTGTGGGTGTCTGTCATAAAATAATCGTGAGTTACTGAACTGTATCACAATGAGTGACTGGTGTAATCTGATAAATAACCAGCAAAATTTCAACAGTCTGATAGTGAAATTTCAGCAGCTTGTCAGATATAAACATTCTGAGCTATTAACTAGTTTCCAAAACAACCTATAAATCTTATTCAAAATGTATTTATTGCAGTGTTGAATTTCTGTGTTGACATATGTCAGAACTGCTTTGATTAAAAGTCATTATTGTAATTATGTGAATAATGGTTACAGACTTACAGTTCAGGTAAAGATTTCATATTTTGTTGCAGGTCAGGCAGTAGAAACTTTTCCTGGTGTCGTTTGGTACTGGACTTCATAAATTTCCATTTATTAGCAAACCTCCATATGTGTTACACTATGCAGTATGTTACGCTAGTGAAGGACATTAATTTCATTTTGTGCCATCCAGAGATTTTGGCGATTGGAAGAGAGCAGGTTGATAGTACCATTTTAGCCTCATTCCAGAACCCCGACATCTTAACAGCTTTGTTATGGAGTTAGAATCCAGGTAGCTTAAAATCTCACTTTTCTGCTAGCTTTAATATGTGTTCCTTCCAGGTGGATTAAATATAGACACCCCATGGCTATATCTATATGCAGCCCACAAACTACATCAGCCTCAGCATTCTACTTATTTATTGACTATGAAGCTGACAACTGGAAAAGCTCTCTCCATTAAGAATCTCGTAGTGGAACTGTTCTATAAAGATCAAGGCAATGAAAAGGAAGGGAAAGTTCACATTTACACGCCAGCTACTACATACCTGCAGGTTAGTAATATGATATTCCTGTAGTGTACAGCTTTGATGAGAGAGCTTAGTGATAGATACCCAACAGAACCGTCATCATACTGAAATAACACTTGTTCAGCCTGCTGTGTGAAGTAGCTTGTTTGAGCACTGTGTGCAGATAAGATCTTGAAATACCGATGTTCATCTGTTTTCTGTGCTTGAACGATGAGCTAGTCTTCCTCTGGGGCAGCCAAATCAGCACAGCAAGGATCTCTTTATTAGCTTTAGAAAAATGTTAGGGTCACCACGGCTGCCCCTCTTGGGAATCTGAGTCCATCACTCCCTACACAAAGCCCAAATACGTGATGGCAGAGTTCTGCCTAGGAGTGTACAAATAGTGATTACTATTTTGAAGTTCTCTCCTCTGCCTGCCACCCCCTCACCCAGCCCCATGAGCTAACAGTTTCAGGAAGTAGGAAAATTGGATCATCATGTAAGAAATGTTTAAAACTTGTTCCTTAGTTTTATGAAATAGCTGTGAGTGTCTTTCATTCTAAAAGTAGGAAGAACAATAGCGAAAATTCTAAACTAAGAGCCCAGTGATTACAGCATTCACCTAAATTTGAGGCACTAGATTTAAAGGCATCCTCTGCCTGAGAAGAATGTAACCCGCCTCTTCCTGGAGAGTATCCTGCTCAATGGACTGTCATGTAGTTCATAGCACTTGCTGCCTCTTGATATGGTTTGTAAAAATTCTCCGTGAGTATTTGGACCTCCATTAATGTTAGAGTTCTGATCTTGAAAAACAACACCTTTGCCACTGAGGTGTTTTTGCTGATTTCTTTTGTTGTGACTTAGAGAGTGACTCCAGCCTCTCAAAAACCTGTGAAAGACCCTTCAATAGCAGGTTCTCAATGTGTAGTCTTCTGTCTTTTATACTGGAATTCTTTTACTTTCTGTAAAATTATTAAATATCCATTGGGTGGAATCAGTGTGCCCTGAGTCTATGGATTCTAAGCTTCCTCCTAATTTATTTTAGACTCTGCTATGCTATAGACGTTTAAAACTGATTTCATCAGAGTTGCTGGGTATTTATTAGCAAAATGATAAACCTCTGCCACTATGCAAAGTGTGGAATTGTCTTGAAAAAGCTTAACTTCTTACCTGCTTCTGTATAAATGAGATGAGAGCCTGGAATTTTTTCTTTTCTTTTATAATCCACTGCAGTTGTCTAAATCTTTAACAGGTTTATGTTTAAGGTGTTTATTCTGAACTGCAGCTTTCCCTTGTTTAGATCACTGCTGGTTCAGGCACAGTGTGGAGGATTGTGAGAAACGTTCTTGAATGAGAAAAAAATGTTCATCAGCTATTTTCTTTTCAACTATGTAGTTTTTTTCTTTCTCTTGCTAGAGGGGATAAAATAAACTTTGAGATCTTTATGGCAATTCAAAATAGTTTGATAATGGAAAAGCTGGCACACTATTTCTAATAGTTCTTGTAATGATTGTCTCCAAGAAAATGTGTTCTTTTCCCCACTGTGTTGTGCTGCTGGCACAATAGGATCCTGTCTGTCCTAACTCAGCCAGACTAATGTCTTCGTCTTCGTTTTTTAGGCATCCACATATAATCATCTTGGGAGGAATGTTCTGCATAGCTACAGTGAAATGATATCTCTGTGGAATCGCCTTGTGAAGAATGAGATTCTTTTGGAGAATAATGAGCAAGCCAAGTTTCTGTGCTTTAAGATAAAGTGTACAAAACATGAATTTAACTTCACAGCCAGCTATCAGAATCTGCCAATGGTAAGAAAGAAATACAAATGCAATTTCTTTGACTCAGCACTGTGTTTTTCAGGTCTGCCACCTTTCTGAGAGATGTTATTGCTAGTGTTGAAACTTTAACACTTCTAGTGCTGCTTCTATTTCTGTCCAAAGAGAAAACGAACAAAAACTTGTGTGGTGTAGTTTTGAGTACTTCTCACCTGTTTGGGAGGCCAACTACAGACAGAAAGTCAGCGAGGAGGGGACAAAGAGAAACTACTTGGCTAGAAAGAGAGCTGTAGATGTGATTACTTATGTTTTGATGCAGATGTAAGTAAGGCAGGTGTGGAAGATTCTGCTGTCTTGGAGAATTAAAATATCTTGCCAAGTAGTGAGCAGAGTAACAGCCTGGGTTTATATGCTATTTTAGCCTCTACATAATTTTCAATCTCAAAATTATTTTTGCTTTGCTTGATGTCTGCAGTACAGGAATGGTAAACAGCAAAAGATACTTTGATAAGTTTCTTTGGTCAGTTTCTTGCAGGATGTCTTAAAACAAGAAGTGCTTTTCTAGTCATAGAATTCCATGCTTGGAAAATCTAATCCATTTTTGTATGTAGATGTACTGGTACCAGTGTTAAAGTTTGCTCGTATTGCAAATAGATTACACTCAAGGGATTAATTATAGGGCATAAATGGAGATCAGGATTTAAACTGAAGCAGAAAGGGGTTGATCTGTTCAATGACTGTCTTGCTGCAGCCTGTTGAACAGTGCGGTTTCTATATTGACATTCCTGAATATGAATGCAGTAAATCTGATGCAGTTGTCTTTTCCCCTTCTGGTCACATGATTTGAGTACAGCCTAAGAAGACAAACTTTTCTGTGAACACTGTATGGAGAGCTTATAGAAGTCCACCTGTCATGCTGCAGTTTGAAGGTCAGATAGAAGAGCTGAAGAAGGAGAAGATGCTCTATCAAAAACGTGCAACTCTCCATTTCAGGTTCAGTAGTCATTTCTGTCTCTAAAGAATGCGTTGGCCTAAATTAAATGTACATCTTCATGCTCTCAGAAAACATTCTGAGCTTTACAGAGTGGAAGTGCCGCATGCACAAAGCCTGTGCTTCCTCCCATCTGGCTCTCTGAACCTGCTCAAACACACCAGCTTTATGGGCTGGTTATTTGCATCTATTAGCTTTTGCCTTCCTTATTAAAATGGTAGTGAGCAAAGCTGTCATAGGGAACAGGCCATGCATACTGTGGCAACATGTTTGTTGGCAACTGTACGGAGCATATAGCCTCCTTTCATGAAAATAGCAGGATTGATGGTGTGTCCAAACGTTGAAATGCTGAGAAGTTCCAAAATCCAGATCTGATCCTCTGTGCCATCCAGATGCCTTTTTTCTATCCTCAGGAATAACATAGCCATCCTAAAGCCAAAAGCATCCCTCTTAAAACACATAACAAATGGTCTTGTTTAGATTTTGGAACACGTTTCCATTTCCTGATGAGAATGACTGCACTGCTTCTAGATGTTGGCTGTCTGAAATTTCTTTCTTCATTACCCATTATTGAAGCACAGCTTGAAGGCCTTGGTAAAAATATGTGCTCAGACTTAAGACATCTGTATTGTCTCTGGGGACATCTCAGCTTTCTTAAGGCATAGTAGGTTCAACAGGAGTGCACAGGCTTCCTTAGGAGCCCCTGCACATCTTGGAGATAGCTGAAAAACTACAGGATGCCTTTTCAGTAATGGAAAAAATACATAAATGAAGAATGAAGAGCTGTACCAGATATCCTAACACGCATAAAGGGAGTCCAATGTCTGCTTATAAAAGTTAATGCATTTTTCCAAGACATCCAACTAAGTAAATGTGCAGAAATATTTAATAAAGTCCATAAAACGTTACACTGAAGTAGTAAACTGATCCAAACTATGTAGTGGCTGAACATCTGTTGCATAGGATTCCTGGCATGTAGATACTGTTTCTACAGAAAACATAAAATGTGGTTGATAGGTGAGATATTCAAAGCTGCCATAAGCTTTTGGACACTGTCCCTATTTGAAAGTCTTGGCTATGCAGATATATAGTGTATGTACTGGTTATGCGTGTCAGAATTTTAGAGTGTCACCCTGTCCCATGCTCTTCCAAGCCTTTCCTGAATCCAGGATGGAAAGGCTGTATCAGAAATCCTGGTAAATCTGTAGTTTGCATGAAGTTGTTATTATGCTCTAGTAATTTCTTAGAGGTCCTGGTCCTGTGTGTCCCTTCTGTACCTGACACCCTGATGGTATCTGCAACTGAACATTTCGGAGTTGAAGTTGAACCATGCATGATTTCTTTTTGTAGTTGTCTATTAAAATCTTATACACTTTGTTTATTCCTTGGTTTTTTTTCCAGACATCCTTTTAAAGTGCCCATTTTGCAGAGCTTCCTTCTACAGGAGACATTTACTGTTGACAAAAAGCAAAAGCACTATTTCTTGGAAACAAAAGTTTTGATAAATGAGGTGAAGGAAACAGTTCAAACTCTGACACTTGGTTACCAACCTGAAAACCCGTATGTGAGTTATACAAGAATTTTCTTAATCTGGCACTCCAAAAAAGCCAGCAAATGAGTGATTTACTGTATATATCTTATGTTCTTTGCATTTCCTCACAAACTTTTTTTTAGATTTGTGCTGGGTTAACCCATCCTTATAACTACAGCCTTTTCCCCAAAGATGTTGAAATATGCATTTTAACTCAAAGTCACCAAAATGTGAGTATATTTCCTGTTAAATTCAGTTAGAAGGAGAGATTAATTACCTGTTTATTTGGAGTTTATTGTCTTTTCAGACCTAACTTGCTATAGGTCTTTAGTTCCTCACCATGTAAATGTTACAAGCAGAAAGTTCAGAGAGCAATGATGTGGTTAGTGCCTCCCTAATACAGTGTTTTATATAATAATATATTGTGTAGCAATATATGATAATAATACCTAATATATTATTTTTTTAAATATTATTATGCATGAATATTATTAATAATAACAAGTACTGGAAGGAATGGATTCAATGTTCTCATTCTTACCTAGGTGTATCTTACCAAATGCAGTTATTCTTTTTGTGCTTTGCTCATTTTTCATTCCTGAGCCACAGTGTAACAGCTCACAACTCTTCTATTTTTTGTAATATGTAGGGATGACTTCTCTCATCTTTCATAATATATGGGGTTAGTGCTCAATGCAATTCACTTATTCATGTTCTTAACACGTAGGCAGAGCATGAGCTTGAGACTACCTTGAAGGTCAGTAAGGAAGATGTTTTCAGCTTTCTAGGGAGATACCAGAACAAATCCAGTGAGGCAGATTTTAGACACCTTCTACACATGGATATGACACATTCATTCCAGGTACTGGTGGTTTTCATTTATGGTGTTTTATTTTTTATGTCTTGGTGGCTGTTTTTAGAGCATTGTCCTTAGAATTATAATTGATTCATGGTTGTAAACTTCCTAATTCAATAAAGTCCTGGCCCTGACAAAGACCCAGGGTACCTCAGCAGTTCAAATCATAGTCTGTATCAATAATGTCTTGTGAGAAACACACCAATCTTTCATTTTTATACTTTTTTTTACTGCATTTTTTTTAATTTTCAGTGGTGTTGGATAAAATTGGTTAAATTTTATACACACATTTGCTTATATACATCCTCTACTTCGTGCTAAAAGTTCAGACATCAAATCACATGAGGCAATTGATGGGAATGCAGTGATTATGTTTACATTTTACTTTGCCAAATAGCTTGAGTTTCCACAAGCAGTGGGCCTAAGTGGGGAGCTGTTTTCCAGGCAGACTAAATTGGAACACTTCGACTATGGTGTGAGCATAAAAGCCATCATCAACAAGAACATGTCTTCACAGGTCAGTTCCATGATTATTATAGTCTTGTTGCTTTTGCACTTCATACACTCAGACCTGTGCTGAGTCTTTTGCTTGTTGCATGTGTTAGGAATACATATTAACCTGGGACCTGTTTAACTTCGTGCTATAAATTGCTTTGCAACTACTTTCAAGCATGGGAACACAAATGTGTGTATGTACTACAAAGCTGGTCAACTTACACAGGATTGAGTGAGTGTAGTTAAGAGGTGTAAATTGTTAGGGAAACAGTTAACTTTTTATGATTAGAGTTTGTTCTGGCTAGATGGCTACATGCACTTGGAATAGGTGGCTTATGTTTTGGCTGAAATTCAGAAAACTCTGAAAGTCAAGTTAAATTGTACTTAAAATTTGACGTAGTTTGTAATGTTTTGTTGAAAGCTCTAGCATGGTGACAGTCCTATATGCAAAATGACGTGTCATCTGCAGTTTTCATTACCAATTCAAAAGGTTCTTTCTCTTGGATTAATTTTATCCTGTGTCGTAGGTTGGGGTAAAGATAGGGCAATCACTTTCCCATTAATTTTATGGTCAAAATGGAGTTAACATGGGCAAAATTAATTTAATTTATTGCCAAATAAAAGAAGAGTTAGATAGTGAGAGACAAAGACATAAACTAGAAACACCCTTCCCCCTCTGCTTCTCCCTTCTGCTTTTTCCCAGGGCCAACTTGTAGTCTGCAGTCTTACTCCTTAAACTGATGTTTCAGTATTCTGTATGAAGATTTGAGATCCTTAACGTCCTGTTCTTTGTTTTCTCTATGTGTAGGCCCAGGCAGCCCTGAAGAGTTATGGTGAGAGCAATTTGAATGGCTCTCTTTACCTTCATTCCAATGGAAGGGACATGTTCCTGCTGGAGATTGATATGAACAATGAAAACAGGAAGAATGCCAGAGCTGTGGAATTGAGAGCTTTCCTCCATCAGACAATCCTGACAAACCCAGAATCAATACAGTTACAGCTCATGGGCAAAGTACTTCCATCAAGGTAGAGAAATCAGAATCTTGGACAATAGAGGAGCTGAAGAGTGTTCTGTGATACATATTTAAATGTAACTGCATATAGCTGCAGCAGAAGCCACTGAGCAAATGCCATTTCATGTGCTATTCCCTGAAATACTTTTGCTCTTTGTGTTTCATAAGTCGGTAAAATAAGTTACATTAATGTGTTCTAGTTGCTTTCCTAGGACTTTGTATGGAGATAACTTGGATGAACAGGGGGTAGTGTTATATCGGATTTTCGATCAGCAGTTATTGTTTCCCCCCCACCCCTTGTTTGTTCTCTCAGAAGTAAAGAACTAATATTTATAAGCCATGCCAGTGGAAGAGGGCACCTCCTAGTGTTTATTATAGTTTTATTAAGTACAGTGGAAAGCTCTGAGGTGGTAGGGATGGGAAGTAGAAATTTGCCCCCGCTGAGTTTCAGCTGTCTTCCAGCTGATTTTTCAAATTTCACAAATACAGAAGTATGCAGTGAAGAGTTGATGTTTTTGTAGAGGTCCTAGTGTTTACAGGTTCAGGAGTTGGATGGGTTCAAGAGAATGAGGAGACAGAGTTAAATCAGAAATTACTACAGTTTAGTTGAAGCTCATTAGATGTACTAGTAAAAGAAGAAATAATATAAAATGTTCAAGAAAGATATTTCATGTGTTTCTGCAGCTTGCTTGCAGCTCTGGGCTTCCAATAGTACATTCATTTGTTTAAATACTGGGGTAGGCTGTAACAGAGCCATTTATTGCAGCTCGCTTCACAGGACATAAAATAGAACATTTAAAATTTCTGCAATGACAATTTATTTGAGATTTATTTTACTGGGAAAAAAAGAGAGAAAAATAAAAGATTGAATATTTCTGGGGAATTGGTAAAAAGATGCAGTCTGTACAGACTTCAGTGGCTGACTGATGAAATGAATCTTACTTCCCTGAATTATGTAGTTCAGTTCTTCACATCAAGTGGATTTTCACTGAGGTTTTGCTCATCATCAGTCTTTCAAGAGGGTTCCGATTTGTAGGAGGGATGCCTAACAATATGAAAAGATGATTGCCTCACTTTTAAGTATTTTGTGTAGTATACTTGGGTCTAGAAAATCCAACATTTCAATGGACAGTTTGTTGAAGACAATGTGAAAATTCTATCTCAATCTTATACTTGAAACACTAAAAATTGAGTTTCTTGTTGCTCCAGCAGGTTTCCCTAAAAAGCTGTGCTGTGTTTCTCCAATACTGTTCAACTCGGGGCCAAGATACAAAGAAATAATTGTCGGTTCATTTACCAAACTCAAATGGTGGTGGCATTTAAAATTATTGTTTAAGCTGAATTCTCAATGCTGCTTTTAAATCAGCACTGAAGACAGATTTCATATTGTGACAGAGAAAAGTTAATTTCCAACTCGAACTCTGTCCAACTCTATCATTTTCTTTTATTCGGGATCATAACAAAAGCATCCAGTCAATTGGAAAAATTAGTCTGCCAATCTGTGAGGCTTTACTGAGCAGTTTAACTGAGTAGTTTTATAAACCTCTGGTGAATAGCATGTACTTAGTGCGAGGCATCTGTTTCACTGAATCACAACACTGGAACAAGTGCCCACAAAGTCTGTGAAGTCTCTGTACTTGGAGATACTCAGAAACTGACCACACGTGCTCCTGAGCACCCTGCTCTCATTGATCCTGCCTTACTCAGAGGGGGTTGTCTTGACAGTCATGAATTAAGCATAATAATAAGATACTAGCAATTTTTATCTCTTTTTAGACTTTGGATATCTTCTGAGATGAAGCTTAATGAAAACAGGCTTTGCATGGATTTCATGGGAGCCAAGGAGCAGAAAGTTGGTTTTGTTTTGTCCCTAAGTGGAAGAGTCCAACACACATTTGCTGGATTAAAGGCCATACCTCATCTTCTTTCTCTGAATGGATTACTGAAGTGCAAAAACAACATTCATGATGGTACTTTTTATTTTGCGTTTTGCTGCTAAGTCTGCAGCTATCTAAGGAAGCTTTGTAATTTTAATGTATTCCTTACTGAACTGTGTATAATTCAGAAGAGAGTGTTTAGCTTGCAAAATGAACTGTTGGTCATTGGGTTGAAACAACTTTTTGGTGAAATAACAGTGTTTCGTAGTTTTCATATTTTTATTGATTGAAGGTGGGTGGCATCTTTTCTATGCAGGTCTTCTAAAATGAGGTGGGGCTGGCTTGAGGCCCTTACTCTTCTGAATGGCTCCATGGGTGGAGTAGGTCACTGCACAGCTTCAGAGGGATTGTTTAGCCTGAAGTTACACAAGTATAGGTCATAGTCCCTCTAAATTTTCCTTCAGAAGGCAGTGCAGTGTAGTCCATGGCTTAAAGGCACGAGCAGCCAGAAATAGTATTATGTGCTTTGTTTTAAACACAGACACTTCTACTAGTAGAGAAACTCTCTCAACAATACTGGATTTGCTCTCTAGATTAGGCTACATTATCTATAATAATAAATGGAAATTCTTTTATTTCCTCCTGGTATTAAATTAATTGTTAATTTATATGTTGCTTATAAAACTCTGGTTATTTCTGTCCTAAAGGACTCTCTCCACAGTAATATTTCTGCCTGTTACAGGTAACATCAGTGTGATGGTCAACAGAACACTGTATGGACTCCATCTCAGGAACAGAAATGTGTTTGGGAATACCACCGTACGCAATATCACTTTTGCTGTGTTTCAGAATGGCAGTCAGGCAATCCCAATGGAGGCAAAACTGAAAGGACACCTGGAGCTGAGTAAAGAGATGAAAAGGGGGCTAGCTGTCTTCCAGGTGGATGAGAAAGCCCTTTCTGTAGATTTTTCCAATATCATGAGTCATGGGCACAGCAGAGTCAGTGGGACTTTCACACATAATATCAGCTTTTTAAAAAATGCAGGTATGAAGAAAACTGCTGCTTGATGGTGTGGTGTAACACGGTGTCAAGCTGAATTTATCTAAATGAGTGCAGACCAGTGAAAATAGCTGAGTTGCTTTTGCTTACACCAGAACAAAATGTGATCCAGTCTTAGCAACATTTTTTCTAATACTGTTGAGAAAATACAATAAAATGGATACGAAATTATTTAAAAGTTCTTTGAACTACTTCAGAGTAAATGATTTCTCTCCTACATCTGCATTCCTGCATGCTGCTCAGTTCCTCTGAATATATTTTTATGCCTCTTTTGATTTGGGCCAGAATTGAAACATTGAAAGTCATTGAGTAAATCACACTGAAGACTAAAATATGCCAAGTGTTGTTTCCTAAGCAAAACCAAGGGTTTTCATGAACTGAAGTTATCAATAATTTTGAATGGGTAGATTGCCTTTGCCCCTTTGGACTGAAGAAGTCTGGTTTGAAACTTTCTAACAGCTGACTACTGGAGTTGAACACAGTACCCACTGACATCCCTTATTAAGAAAAATCCTTGACTTTCAAAGCGTCTGCCACATTTTAATTTAACAATCCTTTTTCAATACGATTTTCATATGGTAGGTAATATCCTTTCTTACTATAAATATCAGTAAGTGCAGCTAACTGGATGGTTGCACTTTTAAAAAAGTCTGTCTTATCAAAAGCTATAGAAGGCTTTTCTTTATCTGTAATACATCTTTTCTGTATTTTACAATCACAACCCAGAAGTATTTTGTTCATTTTGCTGTCTTCCCTGTCAGTAGGATTGCCCTTGGATGGCATTCTCACTGCCATGTGTGACCACGGCCCAAGAAATCAGACCATCACTATAGCCCTGCAGAGTGGCAGTGAAAGGATTGCTGCTGTGTTTGGAGGTCACAGAATGCCAACAGAGCCTCATAAATCCCAGCTATCTGCGAGTTTAAAGCACAACATCTCAAAGATAAAGAAACATGGGATCCCTTTTATTGTGGAAGCTGCTGGCTATTATGAGGTAAGAAGAGTGTGCCTGTGATTATTTAATTTCTGGCAGAAGCATTTCTAATAACTGTAGGTTATTCCTGTGTACTTTATTGCAAAAGCATCTGCATTTTTGGGTTGTACTAAACTCCTATGTGAAAGAAAGGTGTTTTCTGGCTTCTTGTCATGCTGTGTACCTGTTATCTGAAGTCCTGGAGCTGAATCTAGACTAAATGAGATGCTAGTTCAGTTCTCATTTATGTGAGGTGTTTTGCTGCATATGGAACAGGAGTCTTGTCCAATTTTGGTTTTCCCCTATAAATGGGAAGTGGACAGGCTGGCCTAATATATGTCGCTATCAGTGTGAGTGAGCCTAGGTACTGCATTGCATCTGGTACTGGGTTTAACTAATTCTGATGTCATCCTTTGGATGTCTGCTAAAGAGCAAGAAGAGGGTTTAGCATGGTTTTCCATTTGGAAATTTCTACCCACAGAAGTGTCACGGATCATGTTTCCTGGTACTGTGTTGCTTGCCACTCTTCTCTCTATCTGCATTTCTGCTGTAGATCTCTGAACAACATATAGATCTTTTACATCTCCACTTGTCCTTCCATAAAAGAAGGATTCAAATATTTTGCTTGTTCAAACATATGCGAGAAGGCTCAAGTCACTAATACAGTAACATGTTGTGGTGGGTTCAGCCACTGTGGTACAGTGAGACACAGAGGTGAGAGGAGGAAGAACTCTATGCAGTTTCCCTTGCCCTGCTTACTCAAAGTTTCAGTGCTTTAATCATGTATGCCTTAGGACCCAAATCCTCTAGGGTACTGAATGCTCTCAACATGTTTTGGAGCCAGAAGGAATTATTGGTACACAGTGTTCAGAAGATCTAGCAGAATTGGAAATCTCTTTTTGAAATGGAGCCTCTTTGATGAATTTGCACTTTTATTTTACCAGTGCTGCTGCCCTCGCGCAGGCTGTGATGTTTAAGCATGGTGAAACAGACTCTCTCTCTTTGTCAGTCGTTAATGAGAGGTGGTTGTTTGTTTCCTTCCATGATTTGGTTTCTTCTGTGCATAGAATTTCACCAAAAAGATTGCTGCAGGGATAACAACCACAGTGGAAATGGAACAACTCAAAATTGAAATAGAGAAGAAAACCACTGGCAGTGCTATGGAAATTTCTCTTTCACTTCACCATGATGTGGGAGGACTGATGGACATTGTTCCGCGTGTACTAGAGGTTAGCAGAAATCCTAATAGACGGTGTACTTGGTAGCTGCCTGCTCTGCATTCTCAACTGTTCAGATTTACTACTTGAGAGCAAGCTAGCAGATCGGAATGGAGAGGGGATTTTGTCAAACCAGGCAGGTACAGAAAGCCTAAAAATTGTTTGCTTAACAATAAAGAGCAGGTTTTCAAGATGTGGTGGATAACAAAACATCTGTGTCATGAAACTGGAGTGGGTGTTGGCCCAGGCACAGTAAGAGCAGTCCCGGGTTTTCCATCTTGCTAGAGCAGGGTTTGCAGGTGGATCGCAGAGCTGTTTGTGGGTGCAGTGGTACTGACAGCAGAGTGAAGAATAATGGCAGTAGTTTTCATACAGCCAACAGCACTCCCCAAGGACTTCACTTTCTGCAGCAGGGGACATGGCTGATGGCATTTGAAACACTGAATGTCTGCTTGTGACAGGAGTATTTTCTGTGCCAAACATAAGAAATACCCCCATCTCCTGTCAAAATCAAAAGCCAGAGTATCAAAAATAGTTCTGTCTATCAAGTAATGGTTTCCTACTGTTTGAAGATATTCCTCTGTCTTTTTGCTGATAATATTTTGGTATGATAATGCAAGACGAGGCGTCATTTAGCCTCAGATCACTAAACTGTTTATCTTTTTGAAACTGATCTCTAACCTTTAATCTTAAAGCTATGTTTCAGTGTCTTCATGCTTTTTATCCTGAAAGCAGCCTTTTAGCTCACTCCTTTCTATTGTAGTGCTCTCTGCTTTTCTTCATGCTCTGAATGTGCTTTGTTGATAATGCCAACAGGTTGCTTGCAGTGGAGAATCTGCTGACAAACAACTTTCTGGCCTTTGCAATGGAGCAATTGCACTTCAACATTTTGAGGTACTGGCTTCATGACTCTGCAGACAACAACATACTGTCTTCACTACCACTAAGGGAATCTTAAGTACTGAAAGGTGTCAGAGATGTAGAAATGGATTTGAGGTAGCTGGAAGTTTTGCACATACTTTCAGATGTTTTCACTCCCTTAATATTCACGGATTCAAACAGATCAGATTACTTCATCAAAAACTGTACAAGGCTGTGGGGAAGGTTGCACTCAGTTTCACCATTATGCAGTGGGTTGTTTATTCTGAATCAGAATTGTCAACAAACTTGCAACCAAGTGATACAGATTTACATCATTAGTGCACAGTTGTGCACCATGTGCACAATACAGAGGAGAGGTAAGAGATGTTTATGGGCCCAACGGGTCCAATGTTAAAGGTGATACTGCTGTGTCCTACAGCAAACAATCGAGTTGTGCTGCTTTAGGGCTCAGTGCAAGAACTTACACCTATCAGAAAACTAATATCAGGTGGTGAGAGGTGTGCACCAGGCAAAAGGCAAGCGTCACATTAATGTTTCTGACTGAAGTCTCCAAACTGTATCTTCTGCCAGTTAGAACTGAACTCACTATAAATGGTCTTGTTCTGTTATTGAACAGCCAGCCTGATGTGAGCTGGACAAGGGAGCACAGGAGGCACGAGCTGAGAATTTTGCAGTTCACTTTTTACTCTATTTTCTGCTCTTTCTATCTAACTATTTGTTTGTGAAAGTCCCTGTGGCTCTTGAACTGTTCGAGAAAGAAACTTTATAATCTGACATATTCTTAAGAAAGTGTTTAAAAAGTCTCCTGTGAGTGACATTACAGAAGATTACGTTTGTCTCTGGAAAGACAGTAATCATGGAGACTCTGATTCCCATGTATGTTCTAATGACAAAAAAGACAAATGCATTTCAGTTCTTCCCTCTGTTTACTTATAGTAAAACCAGAAGTGATGACAGTAAAACCAATAGCAGTTGATTTTTCTGGTATTAGTAATTGTTTTGACAGAGTTGTGGAGTTGGGATTTTTCTGTTATTTTTATTATGTAACTGTAAAATAAAGATTTTAGGCCATGTCTCCATTTGTTTATGCATTTGTAAATATGTGGGATGAATACAAACTGGTGTCAGGGTAGTAGGGAAATAGTTCTCTTTTAGTAATGTGAGCATGCTTCCTGACGGAAAAACAAACTTGACAACAGTTCTTCCTGTAACTTTTCAGACTCCAGCAAGAGTTTCTCTGAATGGGTCAGTGTTTACCAGCAACTTTACTGTCATCTTCTTTGGACGTGTTTCTTTCCATGACATGTTTGCCTGCCTGCAACTCAACGCCACCCCTAACATCCAGCCTCATTTAGAAATTCACTTCCAGCATTCTTTGCCTTTGCTTCAGTCTCTGGGGATTGCCAGAGAGAACCAAGTGAAGGTGTCAGCCATGAGAGGTGACAAGTATAAGGGCAGGCTTGGTGTTGTCCTTGGGCCTTGCAGTATAAACGCTGATGGAGAAGTGAGCATGGCAAGCAATGAAACAGACACAGAATGGGTACTTACTTTTAGAAACAAGTGCGTCAGTCTAGAGGTAAGCCTAGATTGTTTTCTGTACGGCATTATATCTGTGTATTTCAGATCATTATGAGTCTCAGAGAACTCTCTCCTGACACAGTTCTTTATTGAGAGGACAGATTTGGTCATTAAAATTGTTCTGGCAGAGCAGTGAGTTAGAGCACTTGCAGAGAGCGTGTATTTGAAGAGGAGAATTTGGAGTAATAAAATAGTAGATGTTACTGCTATTGCCATGAAATAGTTGCTTAATAATAGCTTTTTAATTAAAATAAACTTCTGTCCTAGAGTCTAATGAAAAGCATGTCCTTTCTGTTTGAAATTTTGGAGGTTTTCTTTGGGGTTACAAACTTTTTTCTTCTACAGTGATTAGAAAAAGGTTGTAGGATTTTTATTTTCTTCCCTTACCATTTATTTTTGGTTTCTTTTTCTCTAGTTCCAAAGATAAATTTCTGATTTCTCTGTGAAACAAGCTGTCTTGTGTGGTCCTTTCCAAAAGCATTTTGGTTCAGAAAGAAATGCTTTTTCATTAATTAGAAACAAATTAGGCAGTTGTTTCATCTTGTGTGCTTTAAACAACGTAATCTTTTTCTGTTGCAGAGGATGGGATTGCCTCATGCTGTAGCCTTTGGGGGCTCATTTCGACAGAACAGCTGCAATGTTGGCTTGTTAATGAACCTCCACTGTGATGGCAGAACGGTTGATGTGCAGATAGACACTTCCTGCGAACACGAATATACACTCCAAGGGATGCTCAGGCATTCAGTTCACTGGCTGAGTCAGCTTGGGTTGCCTTTTGAAAACTCTGTCCTGTTATCTGCAGGCACAGACTCCACCACTGAGGGCATTTTGTTGCTGCAGGCTGGCAAATGCAAACTTAAGGCTAGAGGAGATCTCTATACTCAGAATAAAACTGAATGGACACTGGAAACAGAAACAGAATGTCAGCTTCTGCAGGTAGCTCTTGGAGGGTTTTAAAGGGAGATTTGGCATAAATGCAGGGAATATAGGGTTTTAGCTAAAATAACAATGTCTGAGTGTTGGAAAACCACTCTAAAGACATATGCCTGTCTTACGGCATTAGGCAAAGAAAGCTCGGATGTATCCTGTTCATAGGTGTTCTCTGTAGGCTGAGATTAGTTCAGTTTGCTGCTTGTTGCCTTTGCAGACCAAGACTGCCCTCTAAGGCTGAACAGCAGTTTTAGTTTGAACTGTTTGTCAAAAAATATATTCTCCGGTCTGTCTTTTTTATCAAAGTAGAAGTTGTGTAATTTCCTTGGTTTTTCCATCTAGCCTCACTTTCATTAGAAAGAATGACTATTGTGAATTTAGGGGTTATTTATAGATGTTCATAGTGATTTATGTTTTCCTTTTAACTCCTCAGTTTTAACTTCTTCAACGACAAAGTAGCAATATAAACCCCAAAATGACAGAAAGCGTGTGTCATCCATAACAAAAAGGGAATGAAAACCACTTAAAATATTAAACATTTATAAAATTTTTTCAGTGTTTTTACAAACACTTTGAAAGCATGAGAGGAAACATTTAACTTGGGATGCTGCACAAGATAAGCTTAAAGTTTTAGTGTTAAATAATCTCCTTATAACACCAGATGCAAGAATGTCTGTTAGGCCTTTTTTTTTTTTTTTTTTTTTTTTTTTTTTTCTTTTCGGTTTTGTTTGAAAATGGAGATTGGTCTTATACGAATGAAGCAAAGGATGTTCACTCTGAAAAAAATAGGCATTCTGTAATTTTGTAAATGTAAAACTTCATATAGATACAGAAGTTGTAAATTGTGCAGGGCAGTCCTAAAATCTTTCCTTAGATCTTATTCAGGCAGAATTGCCATCTTAGTGTTGAGAGAGAGAAAAATGTCAGTGCAGAGGCTATAGATTTTGTCTCTGATATTGTAACATAAAATCTCCTTTCTTGTATGCTAAAAGGAGAAGAAAAAAGACTCAATAGTGACTTGTCTTAAAGTGTATGTGTAATCCGAAGGATTTTTATTTGCCTTTTAATCTCGATAGGAGCTCAGAATTCCAACTCAGTCACGGCTCACAGGATCTATTCAGAAAGATGAGTGCCAGGCAGAACTTCTCTGTGTCCTTGAAATAGAAGGCAAGACTGCCCATCTTGAAGTGAAAGCAGAGTGCAAGCCAAAGATTACACTGGCAATTCAATTCAGGCATGACCTCCCTCAACTGAAGGAAATCTCCAAGGAAAATAAGCTGTTCATCACTGCACAAAACCAGTTAAAATATCATATTGGAATAGGAATGAAATCAGGTGCTTGTGAGCTTCAAATGAACGGGGACTTCAACCCTGAAAAGAACCTTCAGTGGAAAATATTTATAGAAAACAAATGCCAAACAATTCAGGTATTGTAAGGAGTTTTTTTACTTTACTCTTGAATTTATACATCTAAACCAGGATCTTTGCACCCAGTAAAGTCACAAGAAAATAGTCTAATGATTTCAATGGTAGCAGAGAAACAAGAAAAACATTCTCTTCTTTTAATGTTACATCTTACTTTTGGAGCCAGTCATTCACTCTGTGTTTGTATGGTATAAGCCAGATTTTCTGTGGATCAGTACCTACAGCCAATGGACTTGCTGGTACTCACTCTGATGTATTTTTTTAAAAGCATGGTTGAGAAACCTGCAGGGTTTTACTTTTCAGAAATAATGAGTATTTGAAGTTGTCTTTGGTTTTAACAGCAGTTACAGTTTCTCTGCATTTTGACAACCAAACTCTGAATAGTTTAAAAATATATAAAATAAATAGATAATCTTCAAGTCATAAAATTTCCACTCAGCTGTACAAAAAAAAAAAAGAAATTGCTAACCAGCTAATACGTAATGTATGAAAACTGTTGCAGAGAACACATGGAGTGAAAAACCCAGCATTTAACAACAGCCACAATTTCCTGTAAGACCTCAGTTGAGAAATATTTCAGGGAATTTAGCTGAAAAATAAAGTGATGTTTTGAACAATCTGGTTTTGACTGCCCTGGTGAGCCATTTCTCTCTACTAATTCTTGCAAATGCTGGCCATATAATTGTCCCTGAGCTGAACCTTACCATGTACAGTGCCTGACAGACCACCCCCAAATCACACCTCCTGGTTCATTAATGAGATTTAACTTCTGAGTTTGGTGCGAGTCTTGCTATAGATGTTGAGTCTGAACAGCAACTAGTAGGATGAGAAAAACAATAGTTTCTTTGTTGAAAAGATTTAGCTGGTAGAAAAATACAGTGAAAACTGGAATTCTGTGGAAGAAGATCACTCCATATCACACAAATGTGCCATCGTTTGCGGTACAGTCTCATTTCTACACAGAGCAAAGGAAGTGAAGCCCTGTCTCTGGGACAGCTGACCTGGGTGGCACCAGACATCCCCATCTCTGAAGGAGCCCACAGTGTCGCTGCCTGGGAGGAGCTGTGGGAGCTGGGGATCAAGGCAGCTTTCAGAGCTTCCCAAGTAAAGAAAGGCAGTGTGCTGTGACCTCTCTCAGCTAGTTAGCATGACACGCTGAGCTCCTTTGGCCTTTTGATGGAGGAGTGAAAAATCGTGCTTTTTCCCTCAATTCTTGCCCAGTAGTTTGTTTTCTCAGGACAGACTGTTGTAAATAGGTAGAGGGGGAGAAATTCTGTAGTAGTATTTCCTGAAGTAGCAGTTCTGAATTTAGCTGAATTGTGCACTGACTTATCGTACTGAAAATTTGTATTGCTATTGGAAGTCCTGATATCACAACGCTTGGCCTCTCACAGATCCCACCAGTCAGTGCTATATAGGCAGGAGTGGAAAGGACAGGAGAAGTATGGGAAGTTTAAGAGAGATGTTACCACAGAATGATCTGTGGATTCAGTATGCAAGTCAGGGTAAATCTGAATATACAAAGATGAGATTCACCTGCCCTCTTCCAAAAACAGAGCTGCCATAATAAAAGAAACATATGTATACTCTGTGGTTTCACTGGATTTATGAATGCTTTGGCACTGGAGCAATGCCAAGCATAGAAAATTAATTGATTTTTCACTTAGGCAGGAAGAGCTGCCATGTTGTCCTGTGTTCTGTTTGTGCTGGCTCACTTATCAAAAATATGTCAGACATATTCAGAATAAAAAAGACAAAATGTATAAAATATAATAAAAAGCTGTCAAGATTTCTAAAACATCCTATGGATATGCTGTCTGATATACTAGATTTATAGCTGGGTGCTATTAGAGCTACTTATTAGGAATAAAAAATTTCAGGTGCATAGTGTATCTGTGGGTAAAAGTAGTAAATTTTTTTATTTACTTTTTTTGCTCCTACAGGATCTTGGAGCACCACTAAAAATTGATGGTTCAGGCTATGTTTTGATGGATAAGATGAACCTAGATTCACAGACTCTGATCACAGTTGATGAAAGTAAATTACAAGGACTCCTTATACTAAAAGCCACTGAGGCAAGTATCCTGCAGACTGTTAGACTGCATGTATGAAGTACTGAGTGACATACTTTAAACTGGTTTATTGGGAACAAATAGTCAAGCTTTAGTAATAAATGTTGGAATAAAAATGAAGTCTTTGAAAATCTGGCACCTGTAATGTGCAGTAAAACAGATGTATAGGATAGTAGGATGCAGGCTGTGGCACTTTCTGAATCATTTCCTTGTTATGCTCTTTGTGTATATATGTATATGTCTATTGTTGTATCACACTGTTTGATGTTCATTATGCTAAGACATGCAAACCCACAAATGCTCACCTCACTCCAGATATACAACAGGTACTCCAATACAACCCTCTTCATGAAAGTATGCAGCAATGCACAAGAAGAAAAAAGATTGCAATTTATAGAGTGATCACTGTGTTTTACATTGCAAAATGATAGGCAGCAATTAATTGAGACACTGCTGTTTTGCTTCTTCAGTAAGACAACAGCACAAGAAAGGCTGTGAATCTCTTGGTTTCCTATTATAAGTTTGGCTTCTCTTGTCATCAGTGCAGGAGAGTAGAATACAGAGAGAAGTATCTTCTCCCTTGTGGTCCTTCACTTTCTTGCCATAACTGGTAATTTCCGCATATTTCTGTGCTGTGGAGAAACAGATACATAGTGGAGTTTTTTGCCACCAGGGAGAAACATTTGTACCTTTTCCCCTCTTAGCTGGAATATATATATTTTTATCCTATCTTAGGCTTGATATTTTTTTTCCTCTTTCCCAGTGTAACTTCCCTAAATTCATCGCAGTTGGTTTTAATTAGTATTAAACATAGGACAGACAGATTTGCTAAATTTCTGGTTAGAGCTGTGTGTTGTGGCAGGCTTTAGTTTCTACACATGCTTTGCTATATATGCTGTGAAATATTAACAGGAAAGACAAGAGTTGGATGCAGTGCTGACCCATAACATTCAAGGAGCTGCTGACATTGGCATTCCTATGAGGGTGTTAGTTGATGTGATATCAGAAAAAAACAGCACCTTCTATAAAAGACTTATTCACTTCTGTGTGAACAGCAAGCAAGTAAGTGTCTCCTCCATATGAGTAACATGTGACATAGAGGTTAAAGTGAGCTAACTGATGTGATAAACACTGTTTCTCCATTTGAAATAGCTGTGTGTGAGGCTATTACAGGAACACTCTGCAGAGGCTGGTTTAGTTTTAAAAATCTTAATTAAATGAAGGCAGTGTCTTTCAGCTACTCCTGTGCAATCACTTCTAGAAACAAATTTGACATCAACAATGACCCACAACTCCCATTTGCAAACTGTATCAGACGTTTCTTACCAAGTATCTTCCCTGGTGAAGCATATTCCCTATTACAGTACAAAGTTGTGACTTATAAAAAAATCAGACAGTTCTTCACCATAAACTTTTCATAGTTTTCATAATTTTACTCTAATGTGTAATTAGTACAATAATTAAAATTAATCAGAGCAGTCTCAATATCAGAGCTGTGTCACAATTAACTTTTGTCATGTTTTGTTTGGACTAAACAGATTACAGAAGAACTGAGCTTTGTCCAGGAGTTGGATCTTGTGTCTCTTAACTACAAGCTTACTCATAACATAGAGGCACTGAAGACTTTGCAAATAAAAGACAAGATTGAGTTGCAGGTAAGTTATCAGACAATGGCACGGGAGACATGAATCCAGCCTGGAATCACGCCATGACAGGAACAGTAACTGTAGAAGTCAGATGGCAAAGAACAGAGGGTGTGGATGTGATTTTGTGCATTTGCTATTGAGGTGAAATTTTTGTCTCTCTGTCAAGGAGGGTAGAATTTTACTAGTTCAGTTGTTACTTTTATCATCTTTTCTATTCTGTTATGCCATCTTGTGTAAGATCATAACACAGATTTCAAAGTTGCTCCATAATACTTCAGTTAAAAGTCAAGATTTATATGGGAGAAAAAACAGAACCATAAACAATCTACCTCATGTCACAGATCCAAGTGGGAAAGATTGTTCTCAACATTTTAAAGTACAATCGAACCTTTAGTAAAGTATCCTTCTGAATTAAGGTGTCTGTACTGTCACACCACCTCAGCTTTCATTCTCATTTATAATTACTTCTAGACCCAGTGCTCTTCTTTACCTATACTCTACTGAAGTTGGGCCTTCCTTACCTTTAATTCAGTTGCCAGAGAAAGCAGCAGTCTTCTGTCCTTCATTATGTAATTTGAAGTATCGTGGTATTCCTCATGAAAGTGCATTGCAGGATGTGCAAAGTGTAATTTTTTTTGTGCAAAATGAATGGTCTGGGACATTGGATGTCTGTACCTGTGCATACAAGGACTATCTTGGAAAAAGCTGGGATAAGATGAGGCAGAGAAGTGTGGTGGTGGTAAAATGAAATATCACTTTGCAATGGACAGATAACAGATCACTCACTTTTTTTGCTGTGCAGATTGTACTCCTGGGTTCTGTAACCCATCAGAAGTGAGAGGAAGCTGGGGAAGGTGCTGTCTGTCTAGGTGGAGCGTGGAGACAGGAAAGCACATTATGCTCCTGATGGAATAAGATTTTTTCTGAATATGCATCTTGTCCCATTATACATGGGTCGTACTGCCTGCTTCTGTTTTAAAGATGTTTATATTTTTCTCCCTCCACTCTCTCCTTCCTGCTCTCTTTCTCTGTGTCTTGTTTTTCCCTAAAGTTCAGGGTGGAGGGGATTCCAGATGCTTACTTTATTCTTGAGGGGAGTCTAGGAGCTCAGTTTGTTCTTGAAGGGTTGGGAGAACAGCTTGCTAGACCAGAACTTTTCATAGGAATAAGAGGTTGGAGATTGGTTCCCAGTGTGCGAACAGCCCAAGCCACAGCTGAGCTGGCAGCGTGTGCTGCACAAGGAGGACAATGCATTTTAGCTCATATGCCTACTCTGATAGATCTGCAGTGCACCTTGTATAGACTAGAGGGAGTACTGATATTGGCATATTTTTTAATCTGAGATACGCAAGCCTACAGAATAACACTCTTTATTAAAAGTCATGTAACTGCATGACTAGGGTTAGGGCATGGCCATACTGGGGAATACATGTTAAAATATTCAATTTAAAAATAAAAGTGACCTCTGTAACTGTGTTGTGTTATGAAATTACATGAGGGAGGTTTTTTTGACACATCTTTGACATGATACTGCCTGAACCAAAGAAAGAACCCTGACTAACAGGAGCTTTACCTTTTACAAAGCTGTCTTTTCAGTTTACCTTTGTTGCACACAGGCTATATTAAACCTGAAAGTGATCAAGAGCTTTAGTATGAAAGCACATTATGGTGCTCACCTAACAGTTCTTGAAGGACAAATCCAGGAGTTTGAAACAAGTACCAACATAACTGGAAATTTCCATCATACTTGGCCATGGCTGCTACAAGCCAGAGTCCCATCATCTTTACAGGTAGTTTCTTTCGGTTTGTTTTGTTGGTTTTTTTTCCCCCCTTTTCATTAAAATTACTGTCCCTTCTTATAATGTAATAGCCCATGGCTTGAGTGAAAACTACTGTTTTGTAAGGTACAGGATGAAAGCTGAGATTTTCTGATGTTTAAAAACTATGGATGGCTGAAACCTGTACTACTGAAAAAGAAAATTTATTTTTTACTGCTTTCTGGACCAGGTTATTCCATTCTGATCAGTGTCAGTACACTCTGTATTGTTGATATTGTAACTCTACAGAAGAATAGTTTCAGCATGTCACATCAGGAATTGGGATATTGCTTCTATGTTCTTTAAAGGGAATTTTATACTTAAAGTATTTCTTTAAGTGCTATTTTCAGGAAAGTATTGGAGTACCTACTATCTGATAAATATTGGCAGTATGCATGGATCAAGGATCCTTTCTATAAAGGGAGTCATGTTTTTGTGGGATAAAAGAGAACCTAATGAGAATTTGACATAAATCAACGAGGCTGGCATGGTTTGAAGTTCATTCAGTTGAATGGATTTCATACTGGAAAGTCGTAGGTGATTAATGAAAGGCTAGGATTTTTGTTGTTAATGGGTAGATTTTTGACATAAGTATAGACTAGAAAGAACTTTCACTTCCATTTGTCTTCTGTTTTAAAATGAAATAGTATTTAAATGTTTCCAGAACATATCTACATGTCTCTTTTTTTTTAGGTAGATATGGTTTTTCAAGGGAGAGACAACACTACTCAAGAAAGATATATACACATTGCAGTTGGAGAAACATCAATCACATACGTAATAAACTCCTATTATGTTGATCACCAAGTGGATATCTTTTGCCAAAGCGTACATAGTAGCGAGGCACTACAGGTGTTTGGCTACCCTAAGGCAATCAACTTGATTCTCAGTTTACAGAAATCAGGTAGGTACCTGCCATTCCTTTCAGGTTTCTTGTTATATAATAGCTCTTTGAGAATGTTCCAACTATTCCTTCAACAGCTACAGACTGACTAAAATTTGCTGGTAGTACCTTAAAAGGGGCTTTTTCTTGTATTTAATTAGAATTGTCATTCTTAAACTGCATTAGGTACATTAGTTACATTCTTAAACTGTTACATTACATCTGGTTTTTTAATTCCAGGAAAGATCTCATGTGGCACAATACCTGGTAAAACAGGTGGTCCCCAATATACTTAGAAAAAAAAAAAAGAATTCCGGTGTAGGTTAAAGTGGTTGAAAATAATTCTAGATTAACTGTGGAGAGGAGGCAGACCCATCCTGAACAAGCCAGCCTGTCCTCAAAACTTGCCCTGACGTAAATGCTATCTGCATATCCCTCAACTGCTGAGGTAGACTGTGGTCAAGTACCTTCAATGCCCACGTGGGAGTATATTCAAGTTGAAGAAAACCCCAACAGCTGTGAGAGCACCAAGGAGTAGGAATTACTCAGGTTAGCAGGCACTGAATCAGTACTAACGTTAGTGGCACCATGTACTTTCACCCATTCTGAAAAAAAGCTACAGGACAACAGGTGACTTTCAGGACAGCTGCCAGAGTGGTCGCTGTATGATTCCATACATGCCTTCTCAGTAAAGAGTTTTGGGGTTTCACATCTCTCATCTTGTTTTTATCTCTTAGCAATCTATATTTTCTTTTTCAAATACAAAAAGCTGGTAGGAAAGTGGGGGAAAGGTCATGTTGTTTGACCAGTGTTGGTCTGCTGTAGCTGGAACTGAAGGAGTTATCAGAGGTTAAACAGCTCAGAGCTCTTCTCTAGAAGTGGCCAAGTCTGCGAAGTGCTTCTGTTGGCTGTGTAAGCTAGTCAGCTCTAGCTGCAAAAACATGTTACTGTTGGGAACTGACTTGTCACTTAACACTTGTACGTGGACACACAAGCTCTGTTAGCTCAAGACTTCATGTGTTCAGGGACATCCAAAACACCTTGCACTCCTTCAACCACAGGCCAAAGGCCTTGTCATCCTGAATGAGTGACTGTCATAATGAATGTCTTAACCCAAAATTGGGCTGGATTGATTTTATGCAGAGTGAAATTCTTTGAAAATGAGGCCCTCAAAATGGCACTACTTTGTTCTTGCTATTTAGAAAACAAAGCCAAGTTTATCGGTGAAATCCAGTATGATGACAAAGATATAACTGTGGCTATGGATGTTGACACAGACTTTCAACTCTGTGGTATATTTGAATTCATGGCAGAGGTAAAGCATTCAATATCACTTCTCCATCATCTGGGACTTCCCTTCTTTCTTAAGGTAATAAACTATAGATCTTTTATTATGGTTTGATTAGAGCTGTCATCTGATTTACACTAGCATGAATCCAGAGCACTTCCAGTGGCCTCAGTGAAATTACTCCAGGTTTATAGAAATGCAGATGAGAAGTGATTTAGCCCAGATTATCTGAATCCTTGTTTAATTGAAGTACACAGCTAATGCTCTAATGGTCTGCTTCCAAGGAAACTCAGCAGGTACTTGAAATCCCAGATTTCAGGATTAATCATTTCAGGAAGGCGCTCGTTTATTGTCACTTACTAGCTGAGCTGGTTTACTAAAGTAGAAAGGACTTTTGGTAGAAAACAGCTGTCTTTTGTACTCAGAGAATTCCTTGGCTTGGTTAAAGCATTTGTAGCATTGATATCTAAAATGATTCAGTGTTGAATAAACAGAAATAGATTTGTATTCCAAACTATTGATAGGTTCAACAAAGGCTGTACCTGTTCATCCCTTGAGAGAAAGAACTAGTAGCTGAAATGTCTCCTTCCTGTTTGGAGGGTAGAACAGCACATCCAAGTCATCCATGACCTCTTCAGATAAGAGGATGTAGCTAGGATGCAAAATTAAAGGTAGACTTTACTGAAAATAAACACTTAATCATTTTAAATCAGTATTAAACCTGCATATTAAGCATCAGTGTTTCAATAGACTATTTAGTGCCAACATTTTATTGAAAGGTATTTTATATACATATATATATATATATATATCCCCTGTTTCTTCCCTCCCTAATCTTTACTGAAATGTCTTTTATCCTCTAAATGTTTGAGTGAAAAAAAGAAAAAAACAGATGGTAATTCTTTAGGTTCCTTATTCGTGTATAAGGTTTGAGTATAATTATGGGACTTAAGAAATTACTGTGCCCACAGACTTTGGCAAACACAATGTGTTGATATTTCAGCATGGAAGGTGATGCTCATCTTCCCCAGAGGGATTCTTTAGCAGTTTCAGGATAAAGCTGTAGATGAGCTGGCAGCTGTGGGAGGAAGAAAATACCCTGGAGTAAAAGATTTGTGGAGCTCCATCTGTTTCATCTAAAAGAAGAAGGAAAGACAGTTTCTTTACAGTATATGAAAAAAAAAAAAAGAGTGGAGGAGACATAAACAAGAACTAGTGGCTCTAGACTTAAACAGATAAGGGTACATTGAAAATAAGGCTAATATTTGTCAATAATGCATATGAGTAGCTATGGAAACATATTAAAAAAAAAAAAAAGGAAGACATCTCTTGATACTTTTGGTTTAGTTCTAGAAAGCATCTGTAAGGCCTGTCTAGAAGATAAGCTTAAATCAAGATGATAGTTTTAAGTCAGTCAAGAGATTGTGCTCAGTTTGGGTGAAATGCTGGGTAGAAGCTATGGAGTGTGATTTGTTTATTTTCCCCCCTGCACAGATGACAATTCAAGAAGTCCTGACTGAAAATGAAATGGAAGGAGCTCTGAGGCTGACCTATGAACAGAACACAAACTTCTCCTTTACCGTCAGTAGGAAAAAAGACCAGCAAGGGTAAAAGGGTCATTCTGAGCACTGTAAAAATGTCGTTACGCCACTGTGATTCCATGGAAAATGTTACTGGTTTAATCACCAAAGCACTGGTGAAATGGATAACAAATCTTTGATGAATAGTCACACCAAACAGTCTGTACCTCAGGAAGTTTATGAAGGGCTGCAGAGAGATTCCCTTCCTCACAGCTTGGGACGTGCTTGTCTTTTTGCCTGCCTCCACAACATCGAAGTAGCAGACAGTGAGATAATCCAGAAAACTCTAGGGCTGAGTCAGACAAGTACTTAAAAATATGCCTTAACTTGGCATAACTGTTTAAATGTTATTAAATCATTTTGGCACAGTGGAACCTTGTAAAATTATGGACACTCGCTCAGTTTTCTAAGTTGGTATCAGTATGGCTATACCTGCTGTGCTAATTTATTCTTTCTGTCTTCTAAAAATTTTCAAAGTTCTTTAAAGAAATGAAGAATGAATAGAATAATTCTTTAGGTCAAAAGTGCCTGATAATCAACGTCTAAACAGAAATGTTTGGTGTAGCATATAGACAAAACTGTAAGCTTTTGAGGGTGTTTAAGAGGTGTAGTATTTTCAGCCTTGGAGTATTTCAGGTATTTCTTAAGTTTCTAGCAAAAGACCTTTGCACTGCAAGGTCTTATAAGTTCTGTAAAACTCTAATAATTGTGAATTCTAAGTCTGAAAACCATGACAGTGCTTGCAAAGTCAGATTCAGAAATAATTTTTAAAAAGCTGATTCATTTACTGCAGCTAGCAAATTACTAGCCAAAGTAATTTCTGATCCAGTGGGCCACATTCTGTCCCGGGGATCCATGTGCAGATTTTTCACTGACGTCAGAAATGACAGTGCTGTTTGGTCTCCTTTACCTCTGTATGAATGCATCAACAAATGTGGGCTGGGTAAGCATTCAGTGGAAGGTACTGCAATTTGTAACTCTAAAAGCTGTGACAGACTCAGAGATTACTCAGATGAAATTGTGCTGTCAGCGAGAGTGGACTTTCTGAAATACTGTTGAACAAAAGTACATTTCTTCCCTTTAGTGAAGAGTTGAATATAAAAGCACTCCAGACTCATCCCTTCTTTCTACAGTACTTCCCCAGTGCAGCAGAAGTGTCTTCTAAGGTAACTATCTGCAAGTTATCTGTCACATACATCACTACAAATTAGACTTGTCTAATATTTTAGGAGTCGAGCTGCATTATTTCCAGTACTAGTACTCTGTATTCTGGTACTCTGACCTTTTTTGTTGTTGCTGAGGATGTTCGTTTTCAAAGATGCCAACAATCCCACCCTACTAGAAAGGATTTATTCCATTTGATTCTGCTTCTGTGCATCGACATTAATTATGACTTCTGACAGACTCCTCACCTCCTGGGAATGTCTTTAAGTATTCTGGCTACTAAGGAAAGAGAGGCAGGACAGACAGAAAGCAGTTGTGGATGTTGGCTGTTTGCAGTGCCGAAACACACAACAGCAAGGAGAAGCAAGGAAGGTGAATGGGGTTATTTGTCAGTCAAATGCAGCACAGCTCCTCCTGCTCACATCAAAACTAATTTCTTACGCACGTTGCTCAGTTTGTGCTGTTTTGTAGCTGTGCCTTCTGTAATATGAACATAAGGGAAAATCAGATCTCCCTTAGGTCCTGAGGACCATAATGTAATGTACTGTGCAAAGAAGGTGAGCACAGTATTTATTTTCTCTTTCTCTCTCTTTCTTTTTTTTTTTTTTTTTAATTTAATGGGAACTTGAAAAGGTAAATTATGATATGAGTGAAGCAAAAGGCAAACTCTACCTCAGGATGGAAAAAAGGGATTTCAATGTTACAGCTAAGCTAACTTTCATTGGAACCAGCTACACTAATGTCATTGAAATAATACAGACAATGTCCCAGGTTGGTATCATCAACTCAGATGGCAAAAGGCAAACTGTGACTACCCTGTTTTTGAGTATGACTAGAGTATGACTTTTGGGATGGCAAACCCAGAAGTTGAAGGTGAAATACAGCTCCAGCTGCTAGGAGGTGTTTTGCCCTTGATTTCTGCAGTGCCATGAGCAAACATTCAACTGGAGGTTGGGTGTCCAATGTAAAAACTGTTGTTTGGGTTTATATTTGTTTGCTCCTATAGATGAAGCACATATATAGGATATATAAGAAAGAAGAAAAATAATATATTACAAACTGACCCATTGCCAATTTTCATTATGCAGGTACCACACATATTTCTTTTTCTAAATAAGGAAGAAGAGAGGTATTATTTGTGCTGTCTGCTGGATTTATTCTGTAATAGTGTGGCTCTTGATGTTGTAAGAATTATTCAGTGAGATAAAAAAAGAGATAGAAATTCAAAATATGTAATAAGCGAAGACTGTTGTAAAGAGGATACTCAGCTGTTTACGTATGTTCCATTATGTGAGAGGATGACTTACTATGGAAATGAAGTCAAGTAGAAATTAATAGCTGATATACGAAAGCAGTGGGCTTTAGGACATCATTGTACTAGACCTTTCATAACGACATTTCTAAAGCTAGATTTCACAGAACTTTACAGTATCAAAATTACACACTTAGCTTTTTTAATTTTTGGAGAATTTAGGATTTAATATGTTTCCCATCTTTTACTTTTAGTTAATTCTTCCAAGGCAGCTTGTGTTTATGACGGTTTACCAAAAAGGCAACAGGACACGTATGCTGAGGCACACTGCTCTGTGGGATGGCAAAGAGGTAAAGGTAATGGGCACTTACACTGGACCCTTCCCAAAGTTGCCTGGAGGTCATGATCTTCAGGGTAGGTTTCTCAAGTCTTTTGCTGGTGTTGATAGTAGAGTATAAAATAAACTAAACCACATAAATCTGATTTCAAAATGCATATTCAAATGGTTTCAATCCAGGCCTTCTAAGATCTTACTCGCTTTAAATTCATTGTAAGTCTGGCTGTTACAAATGTCCATTCGGAACACTATTTCTACTTTGTGGATGTGGAATGTAAAGCTTAAATCAACTTTAGTAGTGCCAGGGAAAATTTGGCCAGAGTGAGAAGTCATCAGCAAATTTAAATGTCCATTTCTATTTTACAACACATTTCAGAAATGTCCTGGATTAAATGAAACATTTGGCTTTATTTTTATATTTGCTTTTGAATATTTTAAATATTTAATGAAAGGCACAAGAAACCTAGGAACTAGTTTTAGAGTAGACACCATTTGTAAACAGAGAAGAGAGCTAAAGTATTGCAGCTATTTTCATTCTAGCCAAGGTGCTAGGATACTTAGCTGGGAGGTGGCTGACTGGGGTTCACATACACACTTCGTTTTATTCAGGGCGGTGATTTGAATGAGAAATCTCAATGTCTGGGGTTTTGCTTCTCTTCTTCCTGATAGTTCCATTCTGAATAAAACAGTTCCATAGTTCTGTGCCAGTGAATGGTTCATTTTTTTCACAAACACAAACAACTTTGATGGGAGAGAGGGGAGAATGTGTTATGAACAGTAGCACACTCTGCAGTGCAGAACAGGGCCTTGGTTCTGTGATTTTATGATTTAAGGATCCAGTTGGAGAGTACTGGAAAAGAAACATATATATTTCCTTCCAGAAGGAGTCAAGGTGCTGAGGAGGAGCTTTATAGGATCTGTAGTCTTACTGTGCTGTGAGGTTGCCACATGTGTGAGGTGTACACCGGGACTTGCTAGCCAGAAATGCTCGCAGCTCCACGAGTGCACGTGTACCTTGAGGAAGATTCAGCCTTGAATAGCCACTAATCCAGTGGTCAGGGTCGTTCACTGTGAAGTGGGGACCTAAATGCAAATCTCTCTCAGTTGAGAGAAGGAAAGGGTTATGAGCCGACCAACATCTTGGATTTGTTGTCCACTCACTGCACTAGACGTACAGAGACACATCCTACAAATTTTTTCCGAATGTTGCCCAGGTATCCCTTTGAATTTGGAGAGTAAAAATATTTCCTTTTAAGTTAATTTTTGTTTATTTTTCTGTTTTCTTCTTCCTTTTTATGTTTTTATCCCTCCTGGATATAATTTTATTTTTTATTGTCACCATTTCTGAGGCTTTTTTCAGAAACTAGTGAATTCTGTTGCTCTGCTGCACTGGATACTGGAGGGGGCGTTGGTCATGCAGGCCACTACCCTGAGTGGTAAAGGTTAAACCCTTATGTTGAGGCTTTGTTGTCTGAAAACGGAGAAAATAACTGCACTTCCTTGTTTGAGCGTTGTAAGCTGTTCCTCTCCCAGTGGAAGGTGATCTCAGCTTCTTGAAGATTACTTTCCTGGCTGTTCTTGCTAGAAGCTGCCTTGGGTATAGGTATCAATCCTTCGATTACTGCAGGTAATTACTATTGTGCTGGTAAATAGAGGACTCCTGTTTTCCCTACATTTGTTCATATTCAGCAGAAATCAGCAGACTAAAGTCCTTGTGCCTGTTGGGTAGGTGCACGTGTGTGTGTGAGCAAAGACAGTGTTTTCTCTGGGAACCAACTGTTGCCCTGCTACCTGTGGGACAATATGTCCTATCCCTTTCTCTTTATCAGAAAGTGAACAGTCATGATTTGCAGTGGGGGAAACTTACTTGCTTTTTTTCCTTGTAGTGGAACTTTTCCATCCTCTCTCCATCCCTTTCCCATGGCATGCCAGAGTCAACTTATATGTGAAACATTCAGCACGCAATCACCAGGATGATCTTACTGTCATTTGGAATGAGAAGGACCAGGTACAGCATCCCAGAGCAAATCAATGTCAGGAGAATTAGAAGAATATCAAGTGGTTCTTTTTTTTTTTTTTTTAAAAAAAAAAAGACATTAAGCAAGCCAGAGAATTCAAGTAGGAGACAAACTATCCTCCTTCTTGGATGTATAAAAGGCTATGGCTATGAAAGATGAAAAGCCTATATTCTTGTTGGAAGCATTTTCAAGCCATACTTCTTTTTTTTTTTTTTTTTTTTTTTCTGCATAACCAAAGGCAATGAAATGCTGTTGTGTTTTAACCCCACTCAGTAACTAAGCACCACACTGCTGCTCACTCACTCCTCCCTGCTCTCAGTGGGATGGGGAGGAAAATTAAAAAAAAATTAAAACTCCTGGGTTGATATAAGAACAGTTTATTAACTAAGATAAAGTAAAATATAATAATAACAATAATTATAATAAAATATAACAATAATAGGAATTAAAGGAAATATAACAAAATGAGTGAGAAATAAACCCCAAGGAAGACAAGTGATGCACGATGCAGTTGCTCATCACCCACTGACCGATGCCCCAGCAGCGATCCGTCCCCCAGCCAACTCCCCCAGTTTCTGCACTGAGCACGACGCCCTGTGGTATGGAATAGCCCTTTGGCTAGTTCGGGTCAGCTCTCCTGGCCGTGCTCCCTCCCAGCTTCTTGTGCCCCTGCCTGCTGGCAGAGCATGGAACTGAAAAATCCTTAATTAAGGATTTTTCCAGCATTACTGATTCAGCTGAAGCTCTTCTGTATTTCATTCTTTCTTTCTACTCTTTATTTGTCAGAACTTTGGCACAGTTTAAACCAGTTTTTATTTTCTTAAAGTAAGTCAGCATTATTTCTAAAAAATATAAATAGTAAAAAATACAGAACTAGGACAACTTTGGTTAAGTTGATTTCCAAATGTGGTTAAGTGGGGAAGCTTACTGACTTGCAACTAACCATGCTATCTTTATATTTGCATCTGAAGTGCAGCACCTTGGCTGAATATTACATTATTTTCTGAATAAAGGAAAGATGAATGGCAATGTTACTGTACAGAAACAAATGTGCCTACAGAAAGAATTAGAATTTCTTAATTCCTTTAAAAAGTGCTAAAAATGAAATATTTACTTAAGAAGTTGTATAGAATGTAATTTTGAACTACTACTTAAATTACCACTACTATTTAAATACCACCACTACTTAAATTGCCAGAAAAATATTTTGTTCCCAGCAGCTTACGGAATTTAATTCCTGATTCTGCAAATGTTTTTTCTCGTGCTGCAACTTTGCAAGCTGTGTCTAAGCACTCTGCAGCAGTGGAGCCTACAGTACCTAAACATGAGACCAAACTTAAGCTTCATCAAACTTAAGCACGGTTCATGATTTTACTAAAAAATACAGAGAATAGTTTTGCATTCAGCTGTGCCATGTAGGAAATTCAAGTGGCAAGAATGTCGTTATTTGAACTTTAATTTACCTCACTACTTCAAAAAAGACTTTATTACACACATGATTCATCTGAGGAAAAGGTGTAGGGAAATCTTACTGTATGTTTGAGGTCAGTGTGTGAGAGGTGTTTTATTTCACAAGTTCCTTTTCTATCTGTTGATACGGATCAGATATCAGTGTCATCTTCTCTGAAGTTTGGAAGAGACCAGACGAACTACAGAGCCAGTGTTGCCCACCCATTTAATTACACTCTGAAGCAACTGGAGATCCATTGCCTGTCAGAAAGGAGAGGCAGAAAGTACAACCAGCAGGTGAGATCATGAGAAAGAGCTGCCAAATACAGATCTGTAATACTGCTTTTACTGTTAGTGTACCTTTCATCTCAGAGTTGCAGAACCAAGTATCATTCTGCAAACTGTAAGTAGCACCAAGTGCTGTTATCTCCTTGTATCCAAGCCACCAGCCCTTATTCCTTTTCCAAGCATAACAGTTGCTAGCAGATGGTATCTGTCTTGCAATTCTAGCATAGACCCGGGTTGGGTGGTAAGAAGCCAGAAGTGCACAGAAGCCAGCCTGGCAATGAAAATGAGGCAAATTTTGTCCACGAAGTGATGAACAAACTCCTATTTCACAAAAAGAAAGTCAGAAACCCTTTGATACCCATTGAGAGCAAACCCACGTTTTTGCACTGTATAGGAAATTGCAACACAAGTGTGAAAATGTGTGAGACTAGAAAAGCTTTAAAATACGATTGTGAGGTTCACTTGCAAATCATATATGGGGAAGAAGAAGCTCCGCAAATCATCCTTCAAGATCAAAGACTAAATATTTTCTGCCTGAAAATGCACTGCGTGGGCCAGGAAGTCCAGTTGCTGAGGCTGAAGGCTTTCTGCTCAGTAATGAGCTGCGCAAACTGTGCGGTGTTCTGTGTGGTCACCTGGAGCCTTCTGGTACTCGTAGTGGTGCCACAGAGTGCTCTCGGGTTGTTTTCACAAAGTAGTCAATATGTCTCATATTCAGAGGAATAAATTCTCTTGTAGTGTCTTTATTCCATTGGTGTCATTAATTGCTGTGCATGATAGACCCAATGCAGCTTCCAGAGAAGGTAACAGAAAGACTACTGTGACCTCAGCTGTAAAAGTGCAGTTTCCCTGTGGGTTTGTCTAAGGCCCTGACCTTCCAGGCCACGTGGAGTTCTGTGGAGTTTCAACGTTGTTCTGTCACAGTTTTAATTGTGTTTCTTTTTTTCTCCACTGGGTGGAGATCGTTCTGCTAGATCACCCTGCAGGGCCTTCTGCTAGTTCTAGTTTTTCTTCACTGAGCAAATCCTTCTCTTCTGGTTTCAGCTGCAGCTCACAGGGAATGGTGGGCAGCCTGCTGACATCCGCCTGACCCTGGAGGATAAATCAAAGACGAACATCACTGCCTGGAATGGCTGTATGACACTCTCCTCAGGTCAGGTATGAGTCTTTGAGTCTAAGAAGGGATGAGTGTAGCTAGATTTCTGGTTTTGTTTCTCACAGATTGAATTTTTTCTGCACTTGTTACCATACGTTACCTTTTACTTGAAGTCACCCTTTCCGTATCTCAGAGGAAGAAAAATAAAACTTCTGAAGAATTCTGTTTGATGTTTGTATTTGGGATGCAGCCTTCCCTCAGGACAGAATCACCAACCCCTTAGGCTTCTTGGTAGAGATTGAAGCAGTCTGTTATGGATATAGACCATTCAGGGGTTCTCACAGGGGTGTTTTTTTGCCCTGAAAGTATACTCCTCTAGTACATACTGAACATGGGGTTTTTTGAAAATTACTAATATGTATAAATTTTTTCCTCTTCTAGCTTCAGAGAGTATTAAGTATGGAACACCTGCAGGCATGTGGGTCTGTAGAGCAAAGATCTGCTTTGTTTAATGAATATCTAGATCTGAACTGGGATGACAAAAAAATCAAACACAATTTAACGTATGAGGTAAGAGAAGGCAGTTGTATCTGTTAACTCACCATTTTTATGGAAGCTGTTCTTAATAGATGGGAATTTAGTTTTTATACGTAATTTTGAGTGGATTTTAGGTAAGCTTCTGTATAGTGCCACTTTCTGTGAAATACCATTATTTCATTTTACCTTTATGTATTTCTCTGCATAGGAAGAAAGCTACATGTGACATAATTAATAAAAAAAGAGTTCTTACAAACTAGAGGCCTCACTTATGCCCTAAATTTGTAAAACTGTTGAGCTAATTATGTAGGATGGGGATCAGTGACTCTGCTGATAAGCCAAAACATTGTCAGGTGGAAATGTTATGTTTTGGAAATGTTAGGTTAAAACCCTGACGCTACTAGAATAAAAAAAAAAAAAAAAAAAAGCCAGTACAGGGACAGGACGAAGTTGAGAGCTGGGATGAGTGAGAAGTGTCTAAGATTCTGCTATCATGTTTTAACTTTGTTTTCTTGCTGCATTGCAGAAAAATCAGTTCTTGTACGCTGATAAATTTCAGTTAGAAGCTGTTCTGGAAAATATTTTCCTGACCTCATGCACCAAACAGAAGATTCTGGGTAAAATAGAAACAAACTACTCCTCTTGCCTGGACTATTATATGAGCTTTGAGTCCTGTGACCTTCCAAATGTAAGTCTCACATAAATGAATTGAACCTACTTCACTTCAAATGTAATTACTGGTTTGGAAACTCAGTTTTCCTCAGCAGCAGCTTTTCACAAGAACTGCAATACCTCTGTAACTTGACAAACGATAAAATGTCTATTGGTGGGTTGAGGCAGAAAGGTTGTGTTTGCCACTGTAGCATATTCTGTAGGTGCAGTACGGTTGTAAACATTCCCACTTTGTCCATGTTCTTTCTTCCCTACCCCTCTCTCAAAGGTCTTTTAATTTGATGTTTCTGGAGAATATTAAAACAGGCCCATAAGTGATCAAAAAGGAAACTAGAGATTTCCTTCCACTGTAGGTAAATGTTTACTTGTTTTTATGGCTGCTTTTGTAATGTCCCACATGACAGGGAGGGAGATGAGTGACTTAGATTTGTAAATTCCCAACGGAGTGGACAATGGTGAGACAAGTCTCACAGTCCAGACATTTATTATTTTCCCACAATGTACCAATTGGACACACAATAATTGACTAAATATATAACAAATTATGGCAAGTGATATAGTATGCCTTGCATTACCTTAACAAAAAAAAAAAAAAAAAAAAAAAAAAA